ATTTCTTCAGTGAGTATCCTTGGTCATGAACAATCTTAGTATTTGTACTTAAGGTATTAAAAATGGTGCAAATAACTTCTCATTTCCCAGTTCAATACTTCAATAGAGTAAATACTGAGAAGCATGCATAGCATCTAAGAGCAAAAAGCAACAAGTCTCATGTCATGTGTGCAGAACTTTTCTGTGGATTACTTCTGAGGCCCAAGGAGTTTAAAGAAATTGTATAAATTCTCACCATTAATGTGTAATGCATTTAGAATTATAATCTCCTGACTTCAATTCTAGCACTCTTTCCCAAATATCATAATGCTTCCCAATCCAATATCTAGGTTGGCTTGAATGATATCCTTGAAAAGTCATCCTTAGGGTGTTGCAAATCAAGAACTCTGAACTGTGGGGCTACTTTCTGGTGGACAGGCAGTAACTGAGGGAAGCAACAGGTGGGAGAGGAGGTTTTCATCCATATGGATGGACACTAGACAGCCTTTTTTGGCAGTCCTGCCTACAGATCCCATTTTTTGTTTGGAGATTCTTCCACATGCTTCCCACTATAGAAGTGTCCAATGCCAATCACTTTCCAGCCTCTTCTAAAACCAGGACACTTCTAAAGAAGCCAGGACTGAGCAGACTCCACCACAGTATGGCAGACTCCAGCTCTCTACATGGTTTATGCCCAGCAGCTCTGAATGTGGAGACTTTATGGTTCCAGTGCAGTGGCATGAGTTGTTTTTTCAGGTCTTCTGTATATCTTTTTTTTTTTTTTTACACTTTTTAGGTAGAGTTATAGAAAAAGAGAGAGAGACAGAGACAGAGAGGTCTTCCTGTCACTCCCCAAATGGTGGCAATGGCCAGAACTGAGCCGATCTGAAGCCAGGAGCTTCTTCAGGGTCTCTCATGTAGGTGCAGGGGCTCAAGGACTTGGGACCATCTGCTGCTTTCCCAGGCCATAGCAGAGAGCTGGATCAGAAGTGGAGTAGCCGGGACTCGAACCAGTGCCCATATGGGATTCTGCCACTGCAGGCAGCAGCTTTACCTTCTACAGCACAGCGTAGATATCTTTTTTAAAGTTTTACTTATTTATGGCCAGCGCCATGGCTCAATAGGATAATCCTCCACCTTGCGGCGCCGGCATACCAGGTTCTAGTCCTGGTCAGGGTGCCGGATTCTGTCCCGGTTGCCCCTCTTCCAGGCCAGCTCCCTGCTGTGGCCCAGGAAAGCAGTGGAGGATGGCCCAAGTGCTTGGGCCCTGCACCCCATGGGAGACCAGGATAAGTACCTGGCTCCTGCCTTTGGATCAGCGCCATGGCGGCCATTGGAGGGTGAACCAACGGCAAAAGGAAGACCTTTCTCTCTGTCTCTCTCTCTCACTATCCACTCTGCCTGTCAAAAAAAAAAAAAAAAAGTTTTACTTATTTATTTATGTGAAAGACAGAATGACGGAGATCTTCCATCCACTGGTTCACTCCCCAAATGCCCATAGCAGCCAGGGTTGGCCTGGGTCATCAATACCTGGTCCCTCACCTTTAAATCAGTTCTTGAAACACAAAAAAGAATTCCATCACCTAATGTTCAAGGCAAAACAGTTAAGGGCAACACTGTGGACATAGGGCAATGGGCCTGGAGGGGATAATTTTCAAGACAGTGTGATGTGTGAGTCACAGACTCCCCAATGAATGAAAGGAGTCTGCAGTAACAGAGGAGCATAATCCAAAGAACCTTTTCCATTACATTCTCCCAGAGAAATGTACGGATTCTCTGGTCTCTGTTCCTCCTGTGGCATTTTAAGTGGAAACACTTCATCCTTCCAAAACACTAGAGAGAATGGAAAAGCACAAAGCTGAGTGACAGTTTTACACCTGAGTGTCCCCAGCCTTTGTTCCCAGGCACCAGCACCCAGCCCCAGTGTTGCCTCACAGCCTTCTTGCTCAAGAGGCCTCATTTAGAGGGCAGTGGCCTGCTTGGTGCAACCTGGCTGCTGGCTCTGCCAGAGCCTCTCTCTTGAGATGCATTTCAGTGCCAGATAAGAGGTGCAGATCCTTCACTGTGGTCCTGTCTCTGGGAGGGGGCACAGGGTACCCACAGCTGCAGCAGGAATGATGGGCCAAGCTCAAGGTTTTTCTGCAGTACCAGGAATGCGACAGGCAGCTCTACAGGAAAGCAGGGTGGGGGTGATGTCTTCCACCCAGTGTTTACTGAGGGAACACACGCACAGACAGGTATGTAACACTCCTGGGTCAAAGTGGAGAAGGTGACTGGACTTCCTGCTACTTCAGGTAGGATCAGAGTCCAAAATACACATTGTTTTGTGACTTTTGAGTTTCTGGTTTTAGCAACTGAGGCTGTTGTTGGGGTCAGAACAGACGACAAAGTGGAAATGCCCAACTAAGGGGGCTGGGAATGTGGGTTAGACTTCCAGAAGAGGTGGATTTAAGTTAAATCTTGCATAAGCTGGGCCGGCGCCGCGGCTCACTAGGCTAATCCTCCGCCTTGCAGCGCCGGCACACCGGGTTCTAGTCCCGGTCGGGCCACTGGATTCTGTCCCGGTTGCCCCTCTTCCAGGCCAGCTCTCTGCTGTGGCCAGGGAGTGCAGTGGAGGATGGCCCAAGTGCTTGGGCCCTGCACCCCGTGGGAGACCAGGATAAGTACCTGGCTCCTGCCATCGGATCGGCGTGGTGCGCTGGTTGCAGCGCGCCGGCCACGGCGGCCATTGGAGGGTGAACCAACGGCAAAAGGAAGACCTTTCTCTCTGTCTCTCTCTCTCTCACTGTCCACTCTGCCTGTCAAAAAAAAAAAAAAATCTTGCATAAGCTGAAGTTAGGAGAAGAGGTGGTAACAGGAGGAGGCAAGGTCAGAGAACCACAAATAGTTCCATAAAGCCAGAGGCATGTGAGGAGGAAGGCAGGATAGGGGTGCACAGACATGAGATTAAGGAGATTGCTCATTGGATAAATGCTTATTCACTATGTGATTATCTCCTGTGATCCATGTTGGATTGAGCCTAAGAAATAACATTGTATTTGACAGCTTCTATTTGGGCTGTGGAGTCTAAGGAGATAATCCTCCATAGGTTTCTGCATATCTGGAGGCAGAGGCACTGTACCTCCTTGGGAGACAGAGATTCTCCTGCAGGACCTATCTCTGGACAGTTCTGCTTGCTCTCTAGAATAAAAAAGATGAAACTCACCTTCACTGGGCAAAGATTGGTTTCTTAAGTTCAGGGTTCCTTGGCTGTGAGCAAACCTGTGTGTGCAGAGTTGACCTGGATGGCTCCCACTGCTGGGGGACTGAGGGAGGGATGCAGAGGAGTGAGTGGGGAATAAGGAGAACCAACTCGAGCATGAGCATGAGGCTTGTGCTACTGGTTGTGCTCTGCAAAGTCCTGTGCCCCTGAACCAGGTGTCTCCCGTCTTCTGTCAGTGCTCATGAAGCGGTAGAAGGCTCACCCTTCATAGTTCTGCACACCAGGTATTCGCCCTTTGGGAAGTGAGCAATTAGTTTTAGTCTGGCTTTTGTTGTTGTTGTTGTTAATGTACCTTCTTCATTGATGAGTCTCATCCACACTGTGCCCTTGTGCAACCCTCACTGAGGGAGGGTTTCAGAGCAGCTGGTTTTCCCCCATTCCTGCCAATACTGAAATCTTTGCTTTCCATGGATGCAGACAGCATCCAAAGAAAAGATGAATATTTTATTGATGTAAAGACAAATGCCAAGAAACAACTGCTTTTCATATGAAATAGGCTACTAACTACAAAAAGAAACACAAGCTGTGTTAAAATGTGACAGGAAGAGTTGAGATGATTCTAGCACTGATCACTTTGGGGATGGGCAATGAAATATTAAAAAGGGTGCCAGCGCTGTGGCTTAGCGGGTAAAGCCACCACCTGCAGTGCCAGCATCCCAAATGGGTACCTGTTCGAGTCCTGGCTGCTCCACTTTTTTTTTTTTTTTTTTTTGACAGGCAGAGTGGACAGTGAGAGAGAGAGAAAGGTCTTCCTTTGCCGTTGGTTCACCCTCCAATGGCCGCCGCAGCCGGTGCGCTGCGGCCGGCGCACCGCGCTGATCCGATGGCAGGAGCCAGGAGCCAGGTGCTTTTCCTGGTCTCCCATGGGGCGCAGGGCCCAAGCACCTGGGCCATCCTCCACTGCACTCCCTGGCCACAGCAGAGGGCTGGCCTGGAAGAGGGGCAACCGGGACAGAATCCGGCGCCCCGACCGGGACTAGAACCCGGTGTGCCAGCGCCGCTAGGCGGAGGATTAGCCTAGTGAGCCGCGGTGCCGGCCCGGCTGCTCCACTTCTGATCCAGCTCTCTGCTACGGCCTGGAAAAGCAGTAGAAGATGGTCCATGTCCTTCAGCCCCTACACCCGCATGGGAGACCCAAAAGAAGCTCCTGGCTTCTGGCTTCAGATCGGCCCAGCTCCAGCCATTGCAGCCATTTGGGGAGTGAATTAGCGGATGGAAGACCTCTCTCTCTCTCTCTCTCTTTCTGCCTCTGCCTCTCTGTAACTCTTTCAATAAAAATAAACAAATCCATTTTATCTATCTATCTATCTATCTATCTATATAACAAAAAGGTCTACCTGTAGACACCTTATGTTACTCTCTTAAATACGTTCTTATTCAAATAATCAAAATTGTAGCTCTTACAGAGTAAGTTCATGTGATTAAGCAAACGTTGACTTTGAGTAACTTTAGTCTTCAACCTGATGAGTGGGGTTGGTCAATATATTCCACTGATTTATAGAAACAAATATAACCCTGTATTTAAACATTTCATATTAGTAATGACAAGATCACTATAAAGTAGATTTTCAGGTCATTCATCTTTGAAAGTATCCTCATCAACTCAAATCTTCTCTTTAACATATCTAAGCCTAAATGATGGAATGGAATGAACAAAGGTGTAGTATGATGAATGTGACTTAATAAGGTATTTTTGATGATCTAGTGAGTAATTTTGTTTAGCTTATTTTATAATTAATATTTGTAAATAATTTAGACATTTTGGAGAAAGGCCAAAGAGAATGTATTTCTGTGTCTCTGGAAATGCAGTTTATCCAAATATGGCATGATCTGAAAAACAAAAAAGAAAAGGCATTTGTTGTATAATTTATATCATAGTTTTCAGAATAACCTGGTAGGGCTGAGAGGATGAACACTGTTTTACTAAAGTTCAGCAACACCAAATGACTACACATGAGACAAGGCAATGATGGAAGCCAAATTTGTATCTGAGTCTCTTGTTTTCAAGGCTATCTAAGTTAACACTGCCCCTCTTTTGGCCTCAACATCTCCAAATAGAAGAATGAAGAGAAGAGAGGGGCCGGTGCTGTGGTGCAGCGGGTTAACGCCCTGGCCTGAAGCACTGGCATCCCATATGGGCGCTGGTTCGAGACCCGGCTGCTCCTCTTCCAATCCAGCTCTCTGCTGTGGCCTGGGAAAGCAGTAGAAGGTGGCCCAAGTGCTTGGGCCCCTGCAGCCACATGGGAGACCTGGAAGAAGCTCCTGGCTCCTGGCTTCAGATCAGTGCAGCTCCGGCCAGTGAAGCCATCTGGAGAGTGAACCATCAGATGAAAGACCTCTCTCTCTGCCTCTCCTCTCTCTCTGTAACTCTGACTTTCAAATAAATAAATAAATAAACCTTTTTAAAAAAAAAAAAAGAGAGAAGAGAGAGCATGGAAATCTCTGGCTAAAAAGAAACTCCTTCCCTGTCTTCATATCACTGTTGATAGAAGCAAACAGGAGCCTCAAGAACTCCTAGTGCTCTTAGTAAAATTCCCCTCGAACTCATAGCCTTCTCCCCAGGTTGGACCACCACCAGGTTAGACCATTAAGACAAATCTCACTCTGTCTCTTATTGCTGCTTATCCTGGCTGCCTGCAGAAGCCCAAGAGTTCCTTGTATCCAGGGACTAATCCCTTTACAGCTCGTGGGTGACAATGCGTCCTCCACTCAGCACTTCTATTCCCACCACTGTACTGCTCTGAGATTATTCATGGCACTGGCCCACTTAGCACTATCTAATGTATGTATCTATTTTTTAAGACCTTTATCTTTTAATTCTTTTTTCTTAAAGATGTCTTTATTTATTTGAAAGGCAGTTACAGAGGCAGAGAGAGAAACACACACAAACACACACACACACAGAGAGAGAGAGAGAGAGAGAGAGAGAGAGAGAATCCTCCATCCATTTGGTTCACTCTCCAAATGGCTGCAACAGCTAGAGCAGAGCTGAGCTTATCTGAAGCCAGGAGCCAGGAGCTTCTTACGAGTATCCCATATGGATACACTTGAACCACCTTCCACTGCTTTCCCAGGTCATGGCAGAGAGCTGGATTGAAAGTGGAGCAGCCAGGACTCAAACTGGCACCCATATGGGATGCCAGCACTGCAGGTGGTGGCTTTACCTGCTATGCCACAGTGCCAGGGCCCCCTGTATCTATTTTTTAAACTTATTGTCTGGCTTTACCCAGTAAAGTCTAAGCTTTTCAAGGAAGAGATTTTATTCATGACTATATTGACATGAATATAGAAAACAGCCTGACATAAGGTAGGCACTCATAAATATTTGCTGAATGAATGAATAGAGTAAAAGAATGTCTCATCCTCTCACAAAGGGATCCAAAGGAAAACAATGTATGCTTTCTAATTTTTGCTAAATATTTCCAGCAAAATTTACCTTATCATTATCCTATTCTAGTTTTTTTTTTTAAGATTTATTTATTTATTTGAAAGGCAGAGAGGTAGAGGCAGAGAGAAAGAGAGAGAGAGAGTGAGCGAGTGAGCTCTTCCATCCAGGAGTTCACTCCACAAGTGACCATAACGGCCAGAACTGGGCAGGTCCAAAGCCAGGAGTCAGGAGCTTCTTCCAGGTCTCCCACATGGGTGCAGGGGCCCACGGACTTGGGCCATCTTCTACTGCTTCCCCAGGCCATAGCAGAGAGCTGGATCAGAAGTGGAACATCCATGACTCGAACATGGCACTCATATGGGATGTCAGCACTGCAGACAGCGATTTTACCTGCTACGCCACAGTGCTGGCCCCTCCTCTTCTAGTTCTAAAGATTACAGCAACCAATTATAATTGCACAGGACTCTCTAGGTTTGTGAGTCAATCCAAGGGCATTGGTCTCAAGAGAAGTGACATAAGATCCTCCATCACTTCCGGAGAAATTAATTCTGCCTTGATAATTATTCAGTCAGTTAACAAACATTTCCTGAGTGCCCAATTTGTGACACACGCTGAGGGACTAAGGATAAAGCAGTCAAAAAGCACACATCATCTCTGTTTGCAAGGAGCTTAGCACTCATTAGGGAGTGCTAACCACTAGGAGGGAAAAAAAGCTAGGGAAAAGTTTAGAGGGGGATGTGCTATTTAGATAGGGTGGGTTCTAATGGCTGACTTTGTATAATGATCTCTTTTTTTTTTTTTTTTTTTTCCTGCAGGTACAATGATCTCAAAAGTACTCCCAGATCTATGGCCATGTTTTGAGATGAGGAAGATGGGTAAGGGTGGTGTGGGGTTGAGCGGTATGTGTTTATTGGGGAGGAACAGGAATTTTATTCTAGCAAGGGCAAATCTGAGATAAGCTAATCCAGTATACATGACTGGAACTTGGAAGGGTTCTAAGGTCAGAGCTGGAAATTGAGATGCAGGAGTCATCAGAACGGAGATAGGCTAAGTCCTGTCTGAGTCCTGCCTAGGTTATCACCTAGAGAAAAGAAAAGATGGCCCAAGATTAAGGTTTGGTGCTTTTCAAAATTCAGAGGAGGGGCCGGCAATGTGGCTCACTTGGCTAATCCCCCACCTGCAGCGCCAGCACCCTGGGTTCTAGTCCCAGTTGGGGCACCGGGTACTAGTCCCAGTTGTTCCTCTTCCAGTCCAGCTCTCTGCTGTGGCCTGGGAGGGCAGTGAAGGATGGCCCAAGTGCTTGGGTCCCCGCACCTGCATGGGAGACTGGGTGGAAGCACCTGGCTTCGGATAGGTGCAGTGCCAGCCGTAGCGGCCATTAGGGAAGTAAACCAATGGAAGGAAGACCTTTGTCTCTGTCTCTCTCTCACTGTCTATTAAAAAAAAATTCAGAGGACAGAAAAATATTGCCTTACAAGAATGCCATTTTACAGTGAACAATGTTTCTCGTTTGATTCAATATTTATTTGTTGAGGGCCTACCAGACTAATAGATTCATTAAACTTTACAGCCAATATATGTCCCATCTCTTCATTTTACACAGGAGGATCCTCTCTTGGTACCTGCTAGCCTCCTGAAGCATACTCTCATCTGTGCTCAGTCTCATGCAGGAGGCCTCAAGTTCTGGTTTGGGATGAGGCTAATTCTCTTCAGGGGTGAGCTGGCCATCGGGCTGCTTTGAAGCCCATTCCTCCAATATAGATTTGTTTTTCAACAATAAAGCCAAAATGTTTTCTTCCATCTATTTCTCAGATTAGGAACAGAAGGGTATCATTGTTAACCTTCTAAACCTTAACAGTATTAAAAAAAAAAAAAAAAGAAAGAACGAAAAAAGAAAAAAGGAGGTACCCTAAAAGTGCTGAGTGTCTTTCTTTCTGACCATATTCTTTCTACTTACATAAATAAGATAATAACTCCCGAATATCTCTTTTTCATCCTTCATAAGAATTAAAGTCAAAGGCAAAATGAGAAAAACCATGGAGAAGTTGTAATAAGCCTTGAAACACCTAGCACTGGGTCTACCTTTTCTTTAGAACAGTAGTTCTCAATCTTTTTGATTTCAGGATCCATTACACTCTTAAAAATTACTGAGGATTCCAACCAGTATTTGTTCATATGTGTTATATCACTCAGTATTTACCATATTAGAAATTAAAATTGAAAAAAATTAAAAACTCAAGATAAGTGCACATCCCAACATTGGAGTAATGATGCCAACACACATCTTAGTTCCTGGGAAACTCCGTCATTTTCTCACAACAGCAGGAGAGTGAAATTGGTAAACAATATCTCACTGTTGCTATGAAAATAGTATTGACCTCATGAACTTCAGAAAAAGACTTGACTACTTAAGGGTATTTATTTATTTTTTTAAAGATTTATTTTATTTGTTTGAAAGGTGGAGTGACAAAGAGAAGGAGAGAGAGAAAAAAAGAGAGAAAGAGATCTTTCATCCACTGGTTCACTCACCAAAAAGCTGCTACAGCCAGACATGGGCCAGGACAAAGCCAGGAGCCTGGAACTCCCTCTAGCTTTCCCACTTGGGTGCCAGGAGCCCAAGTCATTGGGCCCTCTCCTGCTGTTTTCACAATGGCGCTTAACCCACTGTACCACAACACCAGCCTCTCCAGGCCACACCTTAAGTATCACTCATGGATGCCAATAAAGAAAGATCATGTATTTACGCACCAATTGTGGTAACATTTAAATGAAGCTTATACTTAGTATCTTGTCATAATAAATCTGAGTTTCTGTTTAAGTCTGTTTACTTAAAGGTAGCAAAGTGAATATTAAAAGTTTGTTTCAATGTTATAAGAGTACTGGCTTACAAACTTGATACTACAAATGTTGGTTAAGGAAATAACATTTATTAGACTCTATATTGTAGAAAACTATGTATCTTCCTGAAAAGTTGTACACTATGTTTGTCCTAGAAGATAGTTTTTTCTCTCTACCATCCCACTTAGGATGGGATGGTAGAACAAATGAGAACAAACATACGAGTTGTGATTATGAGAACTTACGAGAACAAACATACTAGCTGTGATTTAACTCACCTAGTTCCAAATAATTCACCCAGATTACAAGATCACACAGTTTCTCCCAGAATTAGGGACACTAAGGTCATCTTCCTTGTTTAAAGAGTTATTTTTTGAGCCGGCGCCGTGGCTCAATAGGCTAATCCTCCACCTTGCGGCGCCGGCACACCGGGTTCTAGTCCCGGTCGGGGCGCCGGATTCTCTTCCGGTTGCCCCTCTTCCAGGCCAGCTCTCTGCTATGGCCAGGGAGTGCAGTGGAGGATGGCCCAGGTGCTTGGGCCCTGCACTCCATGGGAGACCAGGAAAAGCACCTGGCTCCTGGCTCCTGCCATCGGATCAGCGCGGTGCGCCGGCTGCAGCGGCGGCCATTGGAGGGTGAACCAACGGCAAAAGGAAGACCTGTCTCTCTCTCACTGTCCACTCTGCCTATCAAAAAAAAAAAAAAAAAAAAAAAAAAAAAAAGAGTTATTTTTTGAATATCATAAGTAGGTTACTGTTACAGATTAATACACAATGGAGGGGGTGGGTGCTGTGGCAGCAGCAGGTTAAATCAACACTTGGGACACCTGTTTTCCATATGGGGATGTTGGTTTAAGGCCCCACGACTCCATTTCTGATCCAGCTTCCTGCTAATGTGCCCGAGAAGGCAGCAGATGACGGTACCTGGGTCCCTGCTGCCCATGCAGGAGACCCAGATGGACTTGTTGGGTCTTGACTTCAGCCTGGCCAGTCCAGTCTGTTGTTAAGCATTTGGGAGGTGAACCAGCAGATGAAAGATTTCTATCTCTCTGCCTCTCAAATAAAAGTGTTTTTAAAAGACAAAAAAAAAAAAAAAATAAAATAAAAAGACGACTTAATTTCTTAAACACACACACACTGCAATGGAGAATCTCAGCTTTCCACATTACAGTGCATCAACACCATCCCCAAAACACTGCTTCTACAATACTATAAGCAAGCAATAGGCACATCAAAGAAGTGAAATCTTCAGTGTAGCTAATCTTCTGTTTCTGACACAAATTAATTATTTTTGAGGTATTGAATTGAATTATATTGAATATAATTATGTTACCTAGGATAATATTTGAGTTTCCACCCCCACGTTAACATAGTTTCTCTTTGAGAATGTTAGGTAGGAGGTCAGAAATTAGCTTATGTGTGTGTGACAAGGGCCTAAGGAATTGACATCTACATCAGCCCAGCATCCGCATTTCAAAGTCACCCCCTAACCTTCCAGGTGCAGCCCAGTATCTGCACTTTAAAGTCCTACCTGGATCCTGATAACCTTCCAGAAGGTCCTGCCCCTTCTACCTGGTTCCAGGTGCAGCCCAGTATCTTCACTTCAATGTCCTGCCCAGATCCTGATGACCTTCCAGGGGGTCCTGCACCTTCTACCTGGCCTGATAAACATCCTTCCTCTAAGGTGGGCACCTAGAGAGAAGCCCACTTGGCCAATGCCAGCCAGGCTTCCCCTGTCTGACAACTTCAGGGGGAAAACTCAGAAAGAAATTTTTCCTATTTACATCCAACAAGTCCTTTGTTCTGGAGGAGAAGAAGGAGAGGGGGAGATAAAAGGTGGGAAGGCAAGATCCATTCCCTTAAAAACCCCAGCCTAAATGTGAACTGTGCACTCTCTCCCAGGTTCTGTCTGGAGAGCTGCCCATCCGTTCTTACGGATGTCTCTTCCCTAATAAACCTTGCTACTTTGCTTTCCACTTACTGTCTCATGCCTGAATTCTTTCTTGTGCGAAGACAAGGACCCTTTGCTTCTCTGGTAACAAGAACAGGATGGCTTTAAGGGCAGAGGCTCCTCCTAGGGCCAACTGGTTTGAATCTGAGAGATCCAAGCTGGCTGCCAATACGACCTCAAGCAGAGCCTAAACCTCTCTATAATCACATTTCCATGCTCAAAATCACTCCCACTTAAAATCGGAAAAGACCCCTAAAATTTACCCTGAAATGTGGCCCCTTAAAGTTCCCTAGAAATGCTATCCGGGGTGCCACATGCGCTACCGGAATTTGGGGTGCCTTATGATTTCACCACAGGCTTATTACCAAATCCCCGATATTAATAAGCCCGAGAGGGTTCTTGCCTAATATTTAGAGAAGAATTCTAAATACTGGCACAGATAAACGAGGCAGCCGGGTATGTTTTAAGCTTTTATTTAGTAAGAAAGGTGCATAAGAGAGTGAGAGCTTTATTTAGGGGAGAGAGGTGAATAAGGGTTCATACCAAGCACCAGGAACCAGCCACATGGATGAGCATCTAGGCCAGGAAGGCCCAAAGGCCATGTGCCCTGGAAGTGCAGAGCTACAGCAAGCCCTGTCCTGGCAAGAGGAAGAAGAGCAGGGGCCCAGGCACACTGTGCCCTAGGCTTTTAACCCACTCCAAAGGGGAGTGGTTAATTAACCTGATTGGCTGGTGGGCACCCAGGTGTGGCCAGGTAGGGGAATGAGGCCACACAGGGGCATGGCAAAGGCATCAGGTAGGAGCATGAGGTCAAACAGGGGCGTGGTCTTCCAGTTCACAAATCTGACCAATTTTAACCTGTATGCCTGCCTACTTCACACTGACACCATGACAGTTAGCCAAGAAGACTACAAGAGCGCAAAAAGAAAGTGGCTCCCTGATCCTAAGAATTATGTAGGCCTTGTGCCAAAAATCCATGAATATTCCTCCTGCTTATTAGCATATCCCTCCTCCTGATTTCTGTTGCCCTGTATCTGTGATCCCTCAGTGCTCAGCAGACCTGGCCAATGTGGTTATTGGGAAATGAACTAGAGGGGAGCATCCATCTCTCTCTCTCTCTCTCTCTTCCCCCACCCCACCCCTTCTCTTTCTGTAACTCTGCCTTTTTTTTTTTTTCTAAGATTTTATTTATTTATTTGACAGGTAGAATTACAGAAAGTGAGAGCGAGAGAGAGAAAGGTCTTCCTTCCGTTGGTTCACTCCCCAAATGACCGCCCCAGAGCTGCGCTGATCTGAAGCCAAGAGCTTCTTCCCAGTCTCCCATGCAGGGTTCCAAGGACTTGGGCCATCTTCTACTACTTTCCCAGGCCATAGCAGAGAGCTGGATCAGAAGAGGAGCAGCCAGGATTAGAACTGGTGCCCACATGGGATTCCGGCGCTGCAGGCGGAGGATTAACCTACTGCGCCATGGCGCCAGCCCCAACTCTACCTTCAAACAAATAAATAAATCTTTAAAAATAAAGAAAATCAATCTCTGGCCTATAGTAGATCTTACACCAGTCAGCCTAGTTAGCTGACACAGATTGCCTTTCTTTCTTTTTTCTTTTTTTTTTTAATTTTTTTTTTTTTTTGACAGGCACAGTTAGACAGTGAGAGAGAGAGAGACAGAGAGAAAGGTCTTCCTTTTTCGGTTGGTTCACCCCCAAAGTGGCCGCTACCGCCGGTGTGTTGCGGCCGGTGCGCTTCGCGGAGCCGAAGCCAGGAGCCAGGTGCTTGCTCCTGGTCTCCCATGCAGGTGCAGGGCCCAAGGACCTGGGCCACCCTCCACTGCTCTCCCGGGCCACAGCAGAGAGCTGGACTGGAAGAGGAGCAATCACGACAGAATCTGGTGCCCCGACTGGGACTAGAACCTGGGGTGCCAGCGCCGCAGGTGGAGGATTAGCCTAGTGAGCCCCGGCACCGGCCCAGATTGCCTTTCAACTCCCCCAGGGCAATGAAGGAGGCTCTTTCAACTCCAGAAAGCCCTCCTAAGTTCACTTATAAACCCCTCCTTTGAGCAGGAATCCCACCTGAAAACCTTACTTTGGGGTGGAAAGTGCTTCTTCTGCTTGTGAACAAGGTGACTCAGGTTGATCCAGGAGCTCCTGCCGCTGTCAGGAGCAGCGTCTTTGATCTTCCCATCCATGAAGGACTTGTAGGCATTACTGAAATGCCTCTTCTGAACTCTCAGTAAGCTGACTTGATTGCTTCTTTCCACTAAGCAATTGGAGTCACGCTTTTGGTTTATTTCCTCCAAAAGAAGTTGTCTGTTTGCTCTAAGTTTTTCAATTATTTCATTAGTTCTGTTTATAGATACCATTATGCTGAATACCAATTGTCAAGTGTTTCTTGCTTTCCTGCCAAAAAAAAAAAAAAAAAAAAAGGAAAATACTATTACTATTGTTAGGTAGGAAGTCAGATATGAGCTTCTGTGTAGGTGACAAAGGCCTAAGACATCTAGGTCCAGCATAAGCATCTCAGTCATCCTGATAACCTTCCAGGGGCAGTCCAGTATCTACATCCTGCCCTGCCCCTTCTACCTGATAACCTGCCAGATGGGGGTCCCCGCCCCTTCTGCCTGATAATCTTCCAGGTGCAGCCCAATATCTGCATTTCAAATATCCTGCTCAGGATCCTGATCCTCCAGGGGGTCCTGCTCATCCTTCCTCTAACCCGCCTGCCAGCCAGGCTTCCTCCTATCTGATAACTTCAGGGAGAAAACTCAGAAAGGAATTTTTAGTATTTACATCCAAAAAGCCCTTTGTTCCGGGAGGAGAAGCTGTGGGAAGACAAAGACCCATCCCCTTAAAAGCCCCGGCTTAAATGTAAACAGGGCACTCTCTGGTTCTGTCTGAAGAGGTGCCCATCTGTTCTTACGGATGTCCCTGCTCTAAAAAACCTTACTGTTTGCTTTCCAATTACTCTCTGTCTCACGCCTGAGTTCTTTTTTGTGTAAAGACAAGGACCCTGCCATTCTCCAGTAACACTATTGGTTGCCTGATTGACTTAGAAGTCAGTAAGTGTGCCTCCCCATCCCATACTTCATCCCAATTTTTATTACTATTTCCTAAGTTTGTTAGGTTTTTGTTTTATTTTTCTTCTTTTTTTCTTTTTGGTAAAGATTTATTTTTATTTATTTGAAAGGCAGAGTTACAGAGAGAGAGGTCTTCCATCTGCTGGTTCATTCCCCAAATGGCCACAAAGACCGGGGCTGTACCAGGCCGAAGTTAAGGACCCAGAGCTTCTTCTGGATCTCCTACATGGGTGCAGGGACCCAAATCTGCTGCTTTCCCAGGCTATTAGCACAGACCTGGAATAGAAGTGGAGCTGCTGGGACTCAAACAGGTGCCCATATGGGATGCCAGCAGTGCAGGTGGCAGCTTAACCCACTATACCACAACTCCACAACTCCAGCTCCTAGTTAGTATTTTTCAGGGGGAAAAAAGGTAATAAAAAGAAGATAGTAAGACAGTATGTTTTGATTTTGAAGATACTCTGCATTGGTTTTTCCTTTTAGGAACATTCATTGTTTCTTCTGATTATGAAAACAGTATATATTCATTGTAGAAAATTAAGAAAATACAGAAAAGCATAAGGTTGAAAGTTTAAAATCATTCTTGATCCAAAGACAAACATCATTAACATCTTGGATGTTACTTTCCCAATAAGTATCCAAAGAGGTTTCATCATAAAAGATATAGAAAAAAGTCTTTAAATTGGTTGTATTAGAATGTAAATTTTAAAATGTTTTGGTAAGAGTCTGCTTGTTAGGGCTGTCAGGCAGGAAGTTAGAAATTAGCCTAAGTGTGTGTGTGAGAGGAGCCTAAGGAAACTGACAGCAGTCCAGCATCTGCATTTCAAAGTCCTGCCCAGACCCTGATAACTCCCCCCCCCCCCAGGTGGTCCCAGCCCTTCCTGCAAGGAAAGCTCCCAGGAGAACTCTCTCTCCTGCACAACCAAATGGGTTACCTGACCTGATAACAAGGGGCAATAAACCTTCACAGACATCCTAAGGGAAGCCCCTCTACTCTGCCCTGTGCCAACAACTCTGGGGAGGAATTTGCTAATTTTCACCCAACAAACCCTTCCACTAGGACTCTCCATCCTTTGTCCTGGAGGAGAGGGGGAGGTGTGCTCAGCACTCTGCCAGGTGTATTCTCTCCATTCAAACCTGTAAACTCTCCCCCACTGCAAGTGACTGGGCACTCTATCTGTCCCTTCCATTCTGACAGGTGCCCTATCCCCAATAAAACCTTATCACTTTACTGTCTGTCTCACTCCTGAGTCCTTTCTATCATTAAGTAAATTTAAAACTCAGTTTAAAGTTCAGCAGCAGACAGATTCACCAGAAAAAAGAAGCAGGGAGGGGCCAACGCTGTGGCATTGCAAGCAAAGCTGCCTCCTGCAGTGCCGGCATCCTGTTTGGGCGCTGGTTCAAGACCTCGCTGCTCTATCTCTGATCCAGTCCTCTGCTATGGCCTGGGAAAGCAGTGGAAGATGGCTCAAGTCTTTGGACCCCTACACCTGCGTGGGAGACCAGGAAGAAGCTCCTGGCTCCCAACTTCAAATTGGCACAGCTCCAGCCATTGTCGCCATTTAGGGAGTGAGCCAGCAGATGGAAGACTTTCTCTCTCTGCCTCTACCTCTCTGAAACTCTGCCTTTCAAATAAATAAATAAATATTTAAAAAAAAAAGTAGGGAACTGGAAGACAGGTCAGAAGTAACTATCTGATTGCAGTTTAGAAAGACAAAGATATGGATGTAATTAAAAATTAAGGATGTGGAAGACACAGTGAGAAGATGTCCCTGCACAGAATGGGACATCAAGGAAGACAAGAATGAGGCAGAGACAAGATTTGGAAAGATGACTGAGAGAAGGCCAGAACAGATGAAGAAAACCAGTTCACAGCCTTGAGAAGCTCCAAGAATACTCATCAGGACCTTTGCAAGTCTACACTTAGATCCCAGTAAGGTTATTAAAAATTAGAAACTATAAGAAAACCTTGGGGCCAGCATTATAGTATAAAGGGTAAGGCCACTGCCTGTGGCACTGGCATCCTAAATGGAATCTGGTTCCAGTCCCAGCTGTTCCATCTCTGATCCAGTTCCCTGCTAATGCACCTGGGAAAGCAGTGGCAGAAGGTCCAAGTCCTTGGACCCCTGTACCCACATGGGAGACCCGGAAGAATCTCCTGGTTCCTGGCTTCAGTCTGGTCATTGCAGCCATTTGGGGAGTAAACCATTGGATGGAAGCTCTGATTGTCTCTCTGTCTGTCTCTAACTCTGCCTTTCAAGTAAATAAATAAGAAAGAGAGAGAGAGAGAGAGAACCTTAAAGCCTATCATAGAATAAAGGAGGGGTAGTTGAACTGACAGCAGACTCTTCAACAAGCAAGATTAGGAGCCAGTAGGCAGAGAAATGATATTTTCAATATGCTTAAGAAGTTATACAGATGGTAAGCCAGCACATAAAAATATGTGCAGCACCCTCAATCACTGAGGAAATTTAAGTGGATACTATGATGACTACAAAGAAACAGTGTTTGAGGAAATATATTTGCTTACCTTGATTTGGACATTACACAATGTATATGTACCCCATAAATACATATACTGAGATACACCAGTTGTTCTGAAATTTAAAAAAACTGACTGTTGTGGCCATTTGGAGAGTGAACCAGCAGATGAAAGATATCTCTCTCCATCTTTCCCTCTCTGTCACTTTGCCTTTCAAATATAAATAAATAAATCCTTTAAAATTATTTCATGAGACTTTTTTGTGTTATTACATGTATGCCACTAGTAATACAAATTTAATACTTGATGACAGTATAACAATTTATCATATGGATTTCCAATCATTTATCTCATTTTGGGTTGTTTCCACTGATTTATAAAGTAAGGCTTGAAACATATTGAAGTGACAAAAAGAACAGAAACATTCATTATTCAGGAAAGCCACCAGAGCCATCGACTTTCCATTTCTAAATAGAACACAAAAGGAGAGGAGGTAAACTCTGAAACTCTTACAAGTACTCACATGTGCAGACAACAGTAGTCCTGAACAGAAGGAAATGCTTTAGGGAAGACTGGGATTTTTGGAAAGATGCCCCAGCACTTCGTCATTATTGAGCAGTAATGCTGTGAAATACACTGGCATATCCGCTGGGGGTTGGGCTCACCTGAGAACCCTGCTTCAAGCTGAGGGTCTGGCTGGGCTGGGCTCTGCTCCTGGCTGAGGGTTAGGTGTACTCCCAAGATTTTAGGACTAGGAAAAACAAGAAAAGCCATTTTTCTCTAATCCAGTATCTCATGTAGAACCTAATCTCCCATTTTTATTTTGTTCCTATGAATTTTAACAGAGTAAAAGAAACTTTTGTTATTAAGGTAAATATGAGAAAGAAAACTGTGTTCCCCTTAATGGATGTTTGATTTTTTCCATCTGTGGCAAGTGCAGATTTCCCAGGGAGAGTTAGAGAGAAGGAGAAGGGCTGGTGCTGTGGTATAGCAGGTTAATCTTCCGCCTGTGGCGCTGGCATCCCATATGGGCATGTTCTAGTCCAGGTTGATCTTCTTCTGATCCAGCTCTCTGCTATGGCCTGGGAAAGCAGTAGAGGATGGCCCAAGCACTTGGGGGCCCTGCACCCACATGGGAGACCCAGAAGAAGCTCCTGGCTCCTGGCTTCTGATTGGCCCAGCTCTAGCGGTTGTGGCCATCTGGGGAGTGAACCAGCAGATGGAGGACCTCTCTGTTTCTCCCTCTGTCTGTCTGTAATTGTACCTTTCAAATAAATAAATAAAATTTTTAATTAAAATAATAGAAAGAAGGAGAGACAGAGAGAGTGAGAAATCTTCCATCCACCAGTGCACTTCCCAAATGGCCACAACAGCCCAATTGCCCCTATATTTAAAAGATACTGTATGGCCCACTTGAAAATGACTCTTTGGTATTGAAGTAACTAAAGGAAACAGTTCCTTAGGCAAAATGTCATTTGCAGAAGTAAAAAGGGAAGATCTAGCAAGTCTACATTAAAGGAACATAAAATATTTTATACAGTCAACACTAAAGAAATAGTTTGGTTTCTGTTAATCTAACTCTAATCATCAACTGAGAGTAACATGAATGAAATATAACTCATACATCTACAGTTAGTTCAAATATCTCTGTTATTAATTTCAACTTCCTTTCATTAGAGATAATAATTCATCAGAAATTAAACTTTTAAAATTCTATTTCCATTAACATTTTCACTTTATCTTTTCTGGAGAGTCCATAAATTTTAAAAAATGGAGACATTATTAAAGGAAAGGAAAAAGAAAACAAGAGAGTTAATTATCTTTCATGTACATCTGCGTTAATTTATATTTTGGTAAAAGACCATTTTATAGGTTTATTACAAATGTCCTAGTTGAAAGTTCACTGAACAGGGGTAGTATAGCGGGGCAGTAGGTTAAGCTGCCTCTCGGGACACCTGCATCCTATGAGGATGTCAGTTTGAGTCCTAGCTTCTCCAGGCCCCATCTAACTTCCTGCCAATGAGCCAGGGAGACACAGGATGATGGCTCAAGTACTGAGCCCCTTCTACCCATGTGGGAGACTCAAATGGAGTTCCTGGCTCCTGGCTCCTGGCTTTGGCCTGGCCCAGTCCTGGCTGTTGCTGGCTGGCATTTAAGGAGTGGAGGGAAGATCTCTCTCTCTTTCTCTCTCTCTCTCTCTCCCTTTCAAATAAACAAAATGAATAAATAATTTTTTTTTAAAAAAGTTCACTGAATACGGCTGGCGTCGTGGCTCACTAGGCTAATCCTCCGCCTGCGGGCCTGCGGCGCCGGCACCCCAGGTTCTAGTCCCAGTTTGGGCACCAGGTTCTGTCCCCGGTTGCTCCTCTTCCAGTCCAGCTCTGCTGTGGCCCAGGAAGGTAGTGGAGGATGGCCCAAGTGACTGTGCAGGCTGCACACCTATGAAATCAGTCCCTTGTGTGTCAGAGGACTAGGATAATTTCCACAGCCAATCCACCCAAGTTTTATTATCTCTTAATGTGCATAATCCATGACTTTGAAAAGGGCTGTGGAAATAGGAAGTATGTATATAGCTACTCACTATTTATGATTTTGTATCTGCAAATCTGCCTATTTGCTAAGTCTTTTTTACCCCAAAATTATATCTGTGGCCTTTTCTCAGTCATTTGAGGACTTGCGCAGAGCAGTAGGAATTTGCGTCTTCTGCTGTGCACATCCCCAGCTGAGGTCCAACAACGCTTGCCTTCCTGTTTCTGCACCCATGCTGCAAACACGTGGTCTTTTTGTGACTTAGTGTCATATTTTCTTCATTTTGTGTTTCTGTTATTGTTAATTTCATTGTTTCACATGGCCCTCAAGTGTAGTGCTGAAGAGCTTGCAAGCATTCAATAAGCTATGAGCTAGAGTGCTATTGGCTGAGAAGCCAACATTAGTGGAGTGTGAGTTCAATTTATCAATTGTTAGTGGATCAACATTGCATATTAAGTAAGCTGTCTTGGGGCCAGCACTGTGGCGTAGCGGGTAGACACCACCATATGGGTGCCAGTTCCAGTCCCAGCTGCTTGGCTTCCAAGCCAGCTCCCTGTTAATGCACTTGGGAAAGCACTGGAGAATGACCCAAATGCTTGGGCCCCTGTACCAATGTGGGAGATCCAGAAGAAGCTCCTGGCTCCTGGCTTCAGCCTGGCCCAGCCCTGTCCTTTGTGGCTATCTGGGGAATGAACCAGCAGATGAAAAATATCTCTCTCTCTCTCTCTCTCTCTCTGTCTCTCCCTTTCCCTGTAACTCTGACTTTCAAATAAATAAATAAATCTTTAAAAAAAAATGAGTTAGCTGTCTCTAAACAGAAACATACATAAAATAAAGTTATATATTGATGGGTTGACAAAAGTATTGTGACCTGAGGTTTACGGGAACCTAACTCTGTATTTCACTGGAGTAATGGTTCAGTATTTGGTAATTCAGTAATTGCAGCAATTTTACAGAATGTAACAACCACAATACCCAGAATTAAATGTTTATCTAGGGGCCAGCACTGTGGCATAGCAAGTTAAACAGCCACCTGCAGTGCTGGCTGTTTTACTGATCCAGCTCTCTGCTATGGCATGGGAAAGCAGCAGAGATTGGCCCAAGTGCTTGGGCCCCTGCACCCACATGGGAGACCTGGAAGAAGCTCCTGGCTCCTGGCTTTGGATCAACCCAGCTCTGCCCATTGCAGCCATTTGGGGAGTGAACCAGTGAATGAAACCTCTCTTTTCTCTATATCTCTCTATCTCTCTCCCTCCCTCCCTCCCTCTGTCTTTCCTTAACTCTACCTTTCAAATAAAGAAATAAATCTTTAAAAAATGTATATCTATAGAAAATACATTACTATTTCTACAGATATATTATAAATTACCTTAACGTACGTAACCCAAAGCCCATCTGGAATCCACTTGTGTGGATCAGGCTGCTTGGATATTACCTTGGTGATGGAATGTTCTGAGCTATGCCATTTCTACTTTGTTCTAGCTATAGAATTCTGTTAAGAGTCAGAGACTATTTACTTACTGGTCATGTGTCTTGGACAAATTTCTCAACCCCTTTAATATCAGTTTCTTCATCTATAAAATGAGAATAAAGATACTTAGTTGTTTTTTTTTTTTTTTTGACAGGCAGAGTGGACAGTGAGAGAGAGAGAGACAGAGAGAAAGGTCTTCCTTTTGCCGTTGGTTCACCCTCCAATGGCCGCCTCGGCTGGCGCGCTGTGGCCGGCACACCGCGCTGATCCGAAGGCAGGAGCCAGGTGCTTCTCCTGGTCTCCCATGGGGTGCAGGGCCCAAGCACTTGGGCCATCCTCCACTGCCTTCCTGGGCCACAGCAGAGAGCTGGCCTGGAAGAGGGGCAACCGGGACAGAATCCGGCGCCCGACCGGGACTAGAACCCGGTGTGCTGGCGCCAGTAGGTGGAGGATTAGCTTATTGAGCCATGGCGCTGGCTGATACTTAGTTCATTTCATACACATTATATGTGTGTGTATATGGTAGATAATAGGGAGGGAGTTAGAATTAAATGAGGAATGCATGTAAATAAAGCACCTTGCACCATGCTTGCCATCTCTTTATTACATAAACTGTTAATTGTTGAGCAAATGATGTGTGCCTGGTGATCTTGTGGGTACTGGGCACAAGGCAGTAACCATGGGGACCAGGAAAAGAGTTCAATGTTGGAGGGTATTGTTTTCATTGCTTTTGTTTATTCTTTTTTTTTTTTTTTTTTTTTTGACAGGCAGAGTTAGACAGTGAGAGAGAGAGACAGAGAGAAAGGTCTTCCTTTTTTCTGTTGGTTCACCTCCCAAGTGGCTGCTACAGCCGGCACGCTGTGCCGATCCAAAGCCAGGAGCCAGGTGCTTCCTCCTGGTCTCCCATGCGGGTGCAGGGCCCAAGCACCTGGGCCATCCTCCACTGCCTTCCCGGGCCACAGCAGAGAGCTGGCCTGGAAGAGGGGCAACCGGGACAGAATATGGCGCCCCAACCGGGACTAGTGTGTGCCAGCGCCACAGGCATAGGATTAGCCTAGTGAGCTGGGGACTGGCCTATTCATTGGTTTTAAACAAAACTCTCCAATCATGCAGAAAATTCCTCAAAATACCTTATAAAACCCTGGCATGAAAGGTGCTACATCTAACTTCTCCTTTTTAGAAGATTTTTTATATCTATATGCTTAAACTTCTTTAGCTGTCAAATGGGGCTAATGTCAGTACAGAGGGGTTCTGGGCATTTTAAGTAGATAACAGCTGGAAAGAAGTTTTCTTCTGAAATGGGTAATAGATTATCAATTCACAAAGTTATATGCACTGTGCCCAAGTGATTTTCCCAAGTGATGATCTGCCATATAAGAAACTCAATCTGGGCTGGCGCCTCGGCTCAATAGGCTAATGCTCCACCTTGCGGCGCCAGCACACCAGGTTCTAGTCCCGGTCGGGCGCCGGATTCTGTCCCGGTTGCCCCTCTTCCAGGCCAGCTCTCTGCTGTGGCCAGGGAGTGCAGTGGAGGATGGCTCAAGTACTTGGGCCCTGCACCCGCATGGGAGACCAGGAGAAGCACCTGGCTCCTGCCATCGGATCAGCGCGGTGCGCCGGCGCGCTGCGGCGGCCATTGGAGGGTGAACCAACAGCAAAGGAAGACCTTTCTTTCTGTCTCTCTCTCTCACTGTCCACTCTGCCTGTCAAAAAAATTAAAAAAAAAAAAAATTAAAAAGAAAAAAGAAACTCAATCTGGATCACCATTCCAAGCAAACATTTTTTCCATACTCAGGGATTTCCCTCCCAGCAGGGATTTTGGGTTGCATTCTAGAGTGATTCCTATTCCTGTCCTCCTGGACTTGCTTTGGTTTGCTATGCACTTAAAATCTCACCAAGATTTTACTTCATTCTCACCTTAAAGTTATAGGATACAACAGTAAGCAGGCACTATTGCAGTCAACTATGTAAAACTGAATTTAAACTGGGTTAGTTACATTTCAAGGGAAGGGAAGGCATGACTTATATTGTGATGTAGAGTAAATTTTAAATTTTGGAATAATGGGGCTGGCCATTTTCTTGTTCTTTTTTTTTTTTAATAATTTATCTATATTTATTTGAAAGAGAGAGAGAGAGAGAGAGAATCTCCCATTGTAGAATCAGAATCAAAATGGAGTGAGTGTGGCTAAAAGCTAATTGCAGATCTCTTGCTTCTGTACATATTAGCTTTGCTTGCTAATGGCTAAGGGTGTATCTTGTGAAACTATGTGGGCCCAAATTCCCAGGAACTAGGTTGACTGAAATGTGTCCTTCACTGTTATCTTACCACTGTATCTTGGATCTGTTATTGGGTTTGTTATTGTTAACTGTTATTTTACAACCATATTCTGGTTTTCCTCTTTATTGTTCACTACATACCAGAGGTCCAGTACGAAATTGTGAGCCCTAGTGGACAGAATAGTATAAAAAGCTGTGTAACTCACTGCTGGGGCCGTACTCTGATAAGGAGTGTTGGTTCCCACAGATGGCCGGCCCCGATCAGTTACCTTACCTCTCATTTGTCTCCCATTTGCTTCTCATTTTCAATATATATATTTTTTAATTTTATTTTTTATTTGACAGGCAGAGTTAGTGAGGGAGGAGGTCTTCCTTCCTTTGGTTCACCCCCAAAATGGCTGCCAAGGTTGGCGCGCTGCGCCGATCCGAAGCCAGGAGCCAGGTGCTTCTTCCTGGTCTCCCATGCGGGTGCAGGGGCCCAAGCACTTGGGCCATGGAGAATTAGCCAAGTGAGCCACGACGCCGGCCCCATTTTCAATAAATTTCATGTGTGACTGTCACTGGTTTTTGGAACATTTTGTTTTAGTTGGCAAGTGGATGCAACACCATCTATTGGTTTACTCCCCCAAATGCCCATAATAGCCAGGGCAGGGCCAGGCAGAAGCCAAGAGCCCAGAACTCCATCCAGACCTCCCATACAGGTGACAAGGACTCAAGTGCTCCAGCCATCACCTGCTGCCTCCCAGGGTGTGCATCAGCAAGAAGCTGGATTAGCAATGGAGCTGGGCCTCAAAGCCAAGCACTCAAATATGGGATGTGGTATCTCACTCAGTTGCTTTCTAGGTTTTATACCTGTTCTCTCCTTGTCTGCCTAGACCTATTTGGATAAGGAGCTGATTTCTTCTTATGGCTTGCCCCCATCTGGGACTTCCTCTGAATATAGATTTCAGGAGCAATTTTCTGTCTCAATTTGAAGCATATACAGCCCTTAAGATTTTTCTGAAGTAGACAGTTAAGACTGGCCAGGGCAGCAGACGGAGATTTGGGGTCTATTTTTGTTGTCCCAATCCCTTCATCACAGTTTCAGTAAATTAAGTCCAAAGAATGAATCAACAGAAAACACATAAAGAGGTTGCATAATCTTTTGTAGTGTAAACCTGGCAATTAAATCATTAGTTGCTTTAGGTGGGAGGGGTGAGTAGAGGCAAATTTCCCATAAAGTTAATACAGTTTATGCTTCAGGGTCTCTTTGAAGGTCTTGTATCCCATTTTGTATTTTCATTTTGATGTTTAAGGCTCAGGCTCTAAAAATCTTGGATCAGACCTTGAGGTTGGGGGCAAGGAGAGGCAGTGTAATTCTCAATTAATTCAAATTAAGCAATTAAAAATTATCAAAGAGCATTGTAAGAAAAGGTTTTAAATTTACTAGTATTTCAAGAAAGGGAGTTTTGTGCTAACTTGTGACATGAGAAGAATGAAATATAAGACTCAGGTCCCAGGTTCCTTCCTAAGGCCTCTAATTATAAACTCAGCCAAATGGAGGTAGTGAGTATCTTATCTTGGCTGGATAAATGAGTTTACAAGAAAACTCAGAAAACTATACTTTGGCTATTACAATATTTTTGGAAATGTCCTCATAATCATTATTAAAATTAGTATGTCACTTTTTATTTAAGATGTTTGAATGTTTAATAGACCAGAGACCCTGGTGTATTAGATAATCTGATTTGTTTGACTTGTGATCTTAATTTATATTTAATTCCACTCCTAGCATTTGTTGGGGGGGTAGTATTGGTCAGCTGATGCTAATGGACATGGGTTAACATTTACTGGGTATTAGTATAGATCCGTTTAAGTGCTTTATGTCTACTAGGTAGCTATCTCACATAACAATTTCAGGAAAAATAGTGTACTCATTTTGCAGTCCCCCTTCCTACCTCCCCCCCCAACACAATAATCCAAATCAAAGAAGTCAGTTAGAACAGGAATGGTGGGAAGGTAGAAAGGGCAAAGAGCCCCTCGGAAATCAGCCTGAGCTAGGAAACAAGTTTGATAATGAAGGAGACATAAAACATTGTTGATTAGTTGGGAAAACAGCAGGCTCTGTACTCAAGGCCACTAAGAAGGCCAGATGGCTAGAATTGTCTGTGACCAGTGCCAGGAGCACGGTGAAGATAAACAGTTCTCCTGCCAGTCCCCAAAATAGAACCTTTTCTTTGTACTGTAAGAAATGTTAGATGGGACCAGTGCTGTGGTATAGTAGGTTAAGCCTCCATCCGCAGCACTGACATTCCATAAGGGTGCCAGTTGTGTCCTGGCTGCTCCTCTTCCAATCCAGCTCTGTGCTATGGCCTGGAAAAGCAGTAGAAGACAGCTCAACTGCTTGGGCCCTTGCACCCATGTGGGAGACCCAGAAGCTCCTGGTTCCTGGCTTCAGATGAGCCAAGCTCCAGCTGCTGTGGCCATTTGGGGAGTGAACCAGCAGATGGAAGACCTCTCTCTCTGTCTCTCCCTCTGTCTGTAACCCTGCCTCTCAAATAAATCTTTTTAAAAATATGGTTTACATATATAAACCACTAGCGGAAGGAAACAATGGAACTCTCTCCCCGACCCCCTCCAGGTATATTCCTATGAGTTTCTTTCCTTTCTCATATTTTTTTTTCTAAAATTGCCTTCTTGTGTGTTCATCTGCTTCATACTTTAAGTCCCCGAGGTTCATCTCAGCTGTTACACAAGATCATTTTAAAGAGTCAGGAGTTGAACCCATGTCATTTGGCTCTACAACTTAGACCTTTAACCACCACTCTAGCTCCCCTTCTTATCATGTGCCAGATGGTCAATCTCTTGAGTTTCAATAATAATCCTACAAGGCAGGATTCTGTTATCATATTACAGAACAGCTAAGTGACTTGCCCAAGGTCAAAAAGTTAGTGAGTATTCAATTTGGGATTCAGACCTAGTAGCTTTTTAGAAAAAAAAAAAAAAGATTATTTATTTGACAAGCAAACTTACAGAGAGAGGGATAGAGAGAGAGAGTCTTCCACCCACTGGTTCACAAATGGCTGCAACAGCTGGAGCTGAGTAGATCAGGAACTTCTTCCCGGTCTCCCACATGGGTGCAGGAGCCCAAATACTTGGGCCATCTTCTGCTGCATTCCCGGGTGCACTAGCAAGGGGCTGGATTGGAAGTGGAGCAGCCTGAATTTGAACCGGCGCCTATAAGGAGTGCCGGCACTGCACGCAGGTGGCAGCTTTACCAGCTATGCCACAGTGCTAGCCTCCAGTAGCCTGTCTTTAGATCTGATGCCTTTCGCCCCTGCTATAGACCCCCTTCTTTGGTGGTTGGCTCAATGTGGATGGTGATAACATCAGATAGGAGCAGTCATGTGCAAAGAAGGCACAAGCGAAGGTGGGCAAGAGTAGAACAGGCAGCAGCTGGTAAAGATGTGAAGAGAAATTAGGGGTTGAGTGGCTGCCCAGGGTACCCAGGGGATTCCCAACCTAACCCTTCTTGCTGAGTACAGACAGAAGACAAATGATTGCTAAACAGAAGGAACCTAAACAACCAACAAGCATGGCCTCCCCTTAGGAGTATACTCAGGTTACTCTCCTGTGCAGAGAGGGAAATTTCCTATCAGATCTGGCAGAAGATGATCTCCAACCTCTATAGGACGATGAGGAAATGAATATAATTTGCCAGTTTCTGGTTCTAGGAAGAAGGTGGGAAGTCTGCAGATAACTGAATGTTTGCTGGAATGGAAATATGACAAGGGCAGTAAAGGGGGGGGGGCAATTAAAATTTCCTCCACTGGGGGCTGGCCTTGTGGTGCAGTAGGCTGCCATTGCCTGTGTTGGCTGGTTCCAGTCCCAGTTACTCTGCTTCTGATCCAGCTCCCTGGTGTGCCTGGAAGACCAGTGGATGACAGTCCAAGTAGCTGGGTCCCTGCCACCCATGTGGGAGAGCAGCATGGAGTTCCTGGCTACTGGCTTCAGCCTGGCTCAGCGCTGGCTGTTGCTACCATTTGGGGGACTGTATCAGCAGATGGAAGATCGATCTCTCTCTCCCACTGCATTTCCTTTCTGAATAGTTATTTTGAGGAACTATGCAGAAGGTTTCATGGTACCTGAAAATATTTTTTAAATGCTGTGAAACAGTGAATGATAAATTGTGCCAAATATTAAGCAATGTAATAGGTTCATTTTTCAGAAAATGTTTTTTTAACTAAAGCTGAATTTCTTTAGACCCCACATTTAAAATTTTTTGTTCATTCAGGAGCCATCATCACTAATCTAATCTCCAAATCAACGTTTAGCAAATCATGTTTTGTAGCGGGTGGCCAGCTTGGTGGTTAAGACACTTAGCTCCCACATCAGAGTGCCTGGATTCCATCTTCAGCTCTGACTGCTGTCTCCAGCTTCCACAAATGCAGACCAGGAGTGGTAGCAGTAATAGATCATGCTACTGGGTTCATGCCATCCCTGTAGGGAACCTGAATTGCCTTCGCAGGCCTGGGCATAGGCCCCTTGTCATTCTGAGCGGCTAAGTGAACCAGCAGGTGGTAGATCTCTCTTGTCTGTCCATCTGTCTCTGCATCTCAAATTAACAAATAAACAAACATGTTTGCAAGACTTCTTTTAAAAAAGTGGATTAAATGAGAAAACAAGTAGTTATTTAAAATAGCCAAGAGTAAATCAGCGCTCATTAGCTGCACTTAGACTGACTCTGTGCTAGGTGCTGTTACAGGTTGTTGGAAAATAGAGGCAAAGAGTAGTAAAACTTTCAGCCATCCCCTAGTGGAGTTTTCAGTCTAGTGAGGAGGGAGAAAACGACCAGACAAAAAAAAAGCAGACCAATCGGCCTGTGATGGGGGTGGGGGGATTAACATAGGGTGGCCCAGGAAGATACAATGCACACATTCCTTACTGTTCAGGGCTCTGTAGCACTCCAGCCGTACTGAGATTCTATACCTGATATTGTATACCTGACCTAATAATAATGTAACGGTGTTCAGATTTCAGGTTTTAGGGCTCCAGGTATCAGCGTTTTACAAGACTAAACCCACGGTGAGAACTCCTATACATACACATCTGCTTTCAGTTTCTCTGTAACAGTGAATGCTGGGAGCCTCTTTTCTTGTTTCCCAAGGAGTCGCGGGGCTGATCCTCCTCTGGTCCAGGAAGACCTCACGGCTACTTGAGCTCCGGGGAGCAGGGGCCATGCCTCCCTCCGGTTAATGGTTTTAGCCCCCCAGGGCCCATAAGATGGTGTCTGGCACACACCGTTCAGAACCTGTGAGCCGCGGTCCCGTCTGATCTAAAGCCAGGGCCCTGGAAAGCCCCTCGTGGCGGCGAGAGAACCGTCTTCCCCTCGGTCTCTCAGTTCTTTTTTTTTTTTTTTTTCCTCTTGCCCCGTCGTTCTTAGTCGTGGGAAGCCCAAATCCGCCAGCCACCTCTCGCCCTCTGGTCCGCCCACCCAAAACCGGAACACGAGGCCGCTCCAACCCGGCCTTCCTCCGGGCCACCAGGCGGCTTTGCTCCCGCCCCACCCCACCAGCCAGATCTCCGATTGGCTGCCCTGCCAGAGTGAGGGTCCGCTGATTGGTTCGACGGGCCGTCCCTGAGCAGGACGCGGCGTTCTCGGGGCGGGGCCTAGCACCCGGTGACTGGCTGCCGGCAGTGCAGAGGGCGGACGCGTTCACCTGCAAACCCCGGGGCGCGGGCGCACGCGCCGCCGGGGAAAGGTCGCAGGACGGCGGATCGAGGGAGTGGGGCTGGGGTCCTGGGGCTGGGGGGACCTTCGGCTCTGGGTTGGGGGTGCACAGCCGCGGCGTCGGGGAGCCCAGGGACATGGCGCTGCCGGACAGTGAGGAGGGAGAGCCGGTGGCGCCCGGGCACCCGCTGGCGAAAGGCTTCCTCCCCGTGTCTGGAGAGGCTCCCGCCGGGAAGAACTTGGAGCCGCAGAATGGGCCCAAAGCCGGCTGCCTGCTCCTTAACGGGGTCCTCCAGAACAGCCCCGCAGCCGCCCCGGGAGCCCTGGGCGGGCCGCATACTGTGCTGGCCCCGGAAGAGGAGACCCAGGCCCGGCTGCTGCCCACGGAGCCTGGCGAGGAGACCCCGGGGGCCGAGGGCGCCCCGCTGCCTCGGACGGCGCTCTCGCCGCGGCGCTTTGTGGTGCTGCTGGTCTTCAGCCTGTACTCGCTGGTGAACGCCTTTCAGTGGATCCAATACAGCATCATCAGCAACGTCTTCGAGGGCTTCTACGGCGTCTCCTTGCTGCACATCGACTGGCTGTCCATGGTGTACATGCTGGCCTACGTGCCCCTCATCTTCCCGGCCACCTGGCTGCTGGACACCAGAGGCCTGCGGCTCACGGCGCTGCTGGGCTCGGGCCTCAACTGCCTGGGCGCCTGGATCAAGTGTGGCAGCGTGCAGCGGCATCTCTTCTGGGTCACCATGCTGGGCCAGTGCCTGTGCTCCGTGGCCCAGGTGTTTATCCTGGGCTTGCCCTCCCGCATCGCCTCCGTGTGGTTTGGGCCCAAGGAGGTGTCCACAGCTTGTGCTACCGCCGTGCTGGGCAATCAGGTGAGGGTTAGAGTCTGATGGGGAGAGGAGCAGTCATAGGTTAGGCCTGTGGGTGGCCCTCAGGAGGCCTTTGTAGATGCAGGAGAGATAAGCCTTGGATTAAACGGGGGGGGGCTTTAATTTCTTGATAAGGAGTGAACTTTCAAAGCCAGTTTAAAGTGACCATTAGCATCTTGCTTTGAGGATCATCTCTAAAACAGTTAACTAGTGGCTAGCACATGTCTGATAAAGCCAACTTATGAGTGCAACGGTACTTACAGAGGTATTATGGTTGTCCCCACTGCGTTCTTAGTGAAAGGAAGGTGGTTGGAGCCTAGGATGTTTGTTCGCATTTTGAGTAGTCATGGTGAACAGCCCTTGTTTGATTTCATGCATTGGTAGTCAGCACAGTGCCTGGAACTTAGTGGGCGTGTATAAATGATTGCTAAATAAATGTTCCGGTGATAGAGACTTCATAGCATTGCTGAATCCAGTTATTAATTTTTAGACAGTGCAAGACAAATCGTAGGTTAGGGAATCCATGGTAAAAGGGTGGCTTCATTGGCTGTCTCTGTTAAGGAATTCCCTAGTCTTTCCTACCACCATAGGTTCAAATGTCATTAGCATTCTAGTGGCAGTATTAGGTGGAATACTGTGTGGGTGTGAGTTGCAGATTGAGTCTTTTGTTGTAGTTTTTGATTCTGCAACAGCCTGTGGCCTACTGGGTTAAGCTGCTACATTGGCATCCCATATTGGAGTGCCAGTTCCAAACCTGGCTGCTCTATTTCCTATCCAGTGTCCTAATGTGCCCAGGAAAGCAACAAGTGATGGTCCAAGTCCTGGGGCCCTGCCACCCATGTGGGAAACTGTCATGGAGTTCCTGGCTCTTGGCTTCTACCTGGCCCAGGCATGGCTGTGGTGGCTATTTGGGGAGTGAGTCAGTAAGTGAAAGTTCTCTGTCTCTCTCTGTCCCTCTGTCTGTTGCTCTGCTTTTCAAATAAATTCTGCATGTTGGGGGTCCTATGATACTTTATATAAATGATAGAGTATTCATTCCACTTGAGGAAAGTCTAGTTAAAAAGTATACATATATACAGGCTTCTATAGATTGTTTTGCTATATGTTGCCATGTAATAAGAGAATGTTACTTTTTTTTTTTTTTTTTTTGACAGGCAGAGTTAGACAGTGAGAGACAGAGAAAGGTCTTCCTTCCGTTGGTTCATCCCCCAAATGGCCACTACAGCCGGCGCACTGCGCCATTCCGAAGCCAGGAGCCAGGTGCTTGCTCCTGGTCTCCCATGCGGGTACAGGGCCCAAGCACTTGGGCCATCCTCCACTGCACTCCTGGGCCAGAGCAGAGAGCTGGACTGGAAGAGGAGCAACCGGGACAGAATCTGGCGCCCCAACTGGGACTAGAACTTCGGGGGAGAATGTTACTTTCTTAAGTAACATTTGTTTGAAGATCCCAGATTGAAAATAGGCCTACAGTCTGAATGCATACAACTGTATCATCAGCGTTTACTTCAGTGCCTGGTCTGTTGTAGGCTCTTCATACAAATACATTGAATAATGGATGAATGAGCTTCAGACTTGTGTGGATACTGACTAGCTGGATATCATTACTTGGTTATCTCATAGGAACCCAAAATTTGCCATAGTACCTTCCGGTCTACTGCCACTCTCTTAGCTTGGGCCACCCAGCTGTCTCCTAAGCTAACTGACTAATCTCCCTCTCCTCTCCACACTTTCATCCAGGGAGGAATGTGGTCACCCCTGCTGTGGCTTCCATGGTGCTCAGGATAAAATAGAAATTCTAATGTGGCATGTGAGAGCCCTTCAGTCTGCCTCCTGCTGACTCTGGCTTCATCTCCTATCGACCTGTTCCACACACACTTGCTCTTTCTCTGCTCTGAGCCAAACTCTGCTTGCTACTACTTAAGTAGTCTCTCAGGAGTCATGCTTTTTCCTGACCTTTATGCATAATGTTCCTTTGGCTTGGAACTTTTCTTCACTAACTTAACCCGCTTCAACACAACACTGCCTCGTGGTGTTGCAGCTTTTCGTGTGCTTTTTGGCCACTTGTATGTCTTCTTGGCGTAAATGTTTCTTCAAGTCCTTTGCACATTTTAAAATCATGATGTTTGTCTTTGCTGTTGAGTTATAAGAGTTCTTTATGTGGTCTGAATACCAGACTCTTAGCTAATACATGATTTATAAATATTTTCTTTCATTATGTAATCTCTTTTTTTCCCAGCTTTATTTTACATGTTCTTGCTCTCTTGAATTGTAAGCACTTAAGGGCAAGGATTATATCTTATACAACTTTACAGCATATTCAGATGGTGGGAACTCAGTAAATGTAGAATAGAAAAGAACTTTGTCAGCAACTTCCTTTTAACAGTATGATAGCAACAAAGACATCAGAACATAGTATTTTAAAATTTACAATGCATCTTTACAAATACTAGCTATCTTTGTTTTCTTATTAAAGATTTATTTTATTTATTTGAAAGAGTTACAGAGAGAGGTAGAGACAGAGAGTGAGGTGTCTTTCTTTCACCGATTCACTCCCCAAATGGCCCCAATGGCTGGAGCTGAACCAATCCAAAGCCAAGAACTTCTTCCAGGTCTCCTACACGTGGGTTTAGGGGCCCAAGCACTTGGGCCATCCTCTGCTGCTTTCCTTTGCCACAAGCAAGAGAGCTGGATCAGAAGTGGAACAACTGGGACTCAAACCAGTGCCACATGGGATGCTGGTGCTGCAGGCGGCAGCTTTACCCACTATGCCACAACACCAGCCCCTGTCTTCTTTATGTTGTATTGTCAGTATTTACTTTTTTCCTCCCATAATAGTAGTTGTTAACAGGGCTCTTTATCTTACAGCTTGGAACTGCAGTTGGCTTTTTGCTACCACCGGTTTTAGTGCCTAATACACAGAATAACACGAGTCTGGCTTATAATATCAGCACCATGTTTTATGGGACATCAGCTATTGCTACCCTTTTATTCATTATGACAGCCATCGGTAAGTGAATTATTTTCCCTAAAACTTGATGAACGCATGACAAAAACTCAACAATAACTAGCCCTAAACATTCTTACTCATAATGTCTAAATGATATTCGCTTGTTTCATTCTTACTGTGCACTGTCTGGCCCAGGTAACAAGAGGCAAACCTAAGGATATTGTGGTCCACTGCATCTGGGCTAGTGCTGTGAAGGGTTTGAAGACTAATTCATCTCATTTCTCTCCCTACTAACTTCTCTTCCTGGTAACTGTTGGTTTCAAACCTATCACCTGTTTTCTGGGTTCCTCTCCATGGTCTGCACCTTACGCCTGTCTGGCAGGAGCAAGTTCTTGTCATGCCTTGAAATGATGCCAGTAGCCTACAGTCTTCCCTCTAAAGAAAAGTCCTTCCAAGGCTAACTAACTTAATTAGCTGGATCTGAGAATGTCCACCAGTGAGTGAGCCTGGGCAGCAGTGGGCTGGTCAGCGGAATTTCACACTGTGGCAACTCTCTGCTTGTTAGGCCACTCCAGCAAATCCTGCTGCCTCCATCCGTCCCTGAGTCCTCGTCCGGGCCTGGCTCCTGAAGCAGTCAGTCAGAATCAGCTGCCAGCAGCCGTCGCCGGTTGGGAGGAAGCTTTGGGAAGGTCTGCTTTTTAAAGTTTGTCTTTAATGCAAAACAGTTTTGATTTCAGGGAAAAGGAGAGGTCAAGTTGATTAACCAGTACAGCCGCAGGGAGAGCTCTCTGACTTTCCTGTACACTCAGTATCTCAAACAGATTTGAAAAGGAAGAACTCTAAAGTTGAAACACTATCTTCTAGTCATTAACACTTATAGTTAAACTGCATTATAGCTGGAATTTTTAGATTTACAATTTTTACCATGGCCAGAATAGTAATGAGGAATTCCTATTTTTTAATCCTCAACTATGAAATCTTCAATTTTTTTTTTTTTTTTTTTTGACAGGCAGAGTGGATAGTGAGAGAGAGACAAAGAGAAAGGGCTTCCTTTTTGCCGTTGGTTCACCCTCCAATGGCCGCCATGGCTGGCGCGCTGCGGCCGGCGCACCACGCTGATCTGAAGGCAGGAGCCAGGTGCTTACCCTGGTCTCCCATGGGGTGCAGGGCCCAAACACTTGGGCCATCCTCCACTGCCTTCCTGGGCCACAGCAGAGAGCTGGCCTGGAAGAGGGGCAACCGGGACAGAATCCAGCACCCCGACCGGGACTAGAACCCGGTGTGCCAGCGCCGCTAGGTGGAGGATTAGCCTATTGAGCCGCGGCGCCAGCCAAAATCTTCAATTTTAAAGAAAATGCCTCTTGGAGACTATAGAATGTTTCAGTAGAGACTGCCTTGGTAGGTGAACTATATGATGCAGGTCTAAGAGACTTGGCCCATGTACTTCATTTCCTCTAAGATAATGAGAGCGTTCCCTTGGTAGCATATAAAGCATTCTGACATGTCCAGTCTACTTGTGGTTGGTTTTTATGTTTTCTCTTAGTCCAGGAGCGGCATATTTTCAGTGGGCAGACTTCTGAAAATGGACAATTATCCTTGTACTATTTAAACAGCTTAACCAAGTTTTAAAAGAAATCTGTATAATTTTTTAAATTTATTTTTTATTTATTTAAAAGGTAGAGTTGCAGACAGAGGGAGAGACAGAAAGAAAGATCTTTCAGTCGCTGATTCACTCCCCAAATGGCCAAAGCTGAGCCGATCAGAAGCCAGGAGTCTTCTTTCAGGTCTCCTAATTGGATGCAGGGGCCCAAACACTTGGGCCATCTTCCACTGCTTTCCCAGTCCATAGTAGAGAGGAAGAGGAACAGCAGGGACACGAACCGGCACCCATATGGGATGCTGGCATACAGGCGGAGGCTTAGCCCACTATGCCACAGAGCTGGCTCCTATATTATTTATTTTTAAAAACCCTCTTATATCTACTTTCTTTTTTTTTTTTTTTTTTTGACAGGCAGAGCGGACAGTGAGAGAGAGAGAGACAGAGAGAAAGGTCTTCCTTTTGCCGTTGGTTCACCCTCCAATGGCCGCCACAGCCGGCGCGCTGCGGCCAGCGCACCGCGCTGATCCGATGGCAGGAGCCAGGAGCCAGGAGCCAGGTGCTTTTCCTGGTCTCCCATGGGGTGCAGGGCCCAAGCACCTGGGCCATCCTCCACTGCACTCCCTGGCCACAGCAGAGAGCTGGCCTGGAAGAGGGGCAACTGGGACAGAATCCGGCGCCCCAACCGGGACTAGAACCCGGTGTGCCGGCGCCGCTAGGCGGAGGATTAGCCTAGTGAGCTGCGGCGCCGGCTTCTACTTTCTTTCTTTTCAAAATTTATTTGAGAGAAAGAGAAGGAGAGAGAGAGAGAGAGAGCAAGAGTGCTTCTCTTCTCCAAATGCCTACAATGGCCAGGACTGGGCTGGCCAGGTTGAAGCTGGGAGCCTAGAACATAATCCAGGTCTCCCTTGTGCAAGGAAGGAACACAATTACTTGAACTGCCACTTCTACCTTTCAGGATCTGTGTTAGTAGGAAACTGGAGTTAGGAGCCAGAGCCAGGTATCAAACTCGGGCGTTCTGATGTGGGACACAGGCATCTTAACTGCCATCTTAACCATTGGACTAAATATCTACCTTGCAATAAAGACTTTTTTAAAAAAAGATTTATTTATTTATTTGAAAGTCAGAATTATACAGAGAGAGGAGAGAAAGAGAGAGAGAGAGAGAGAGAGGTCTTCCATCCGATGGTTCACTGCCCGGTTGGCCGCAATGGCCGGAGCGGTGCCCATCTGAAGCCAGGAGCCAGCAGCTTTCTCCGGGTCTCCCATGTGGGTGCCGGGGCCCAAGAACTTGGGCATCTTCCACTGCTTTACCAGGCCACAGCAGAGAGCTGGATCAGAAGTGACCGGCGCCCATATGGGATGCCAGCACTGCAGACAGTGGCTTTACCTACTATGCCACAGTGCCGGCCCCGCAATAGAGATTTTTAAAATATAAAATTCTTTTTCCTGGGGCTTGGTAGATTAAGCCTCCACCTGTGGTGCCAGCATCCTGTATGGGTGCAGGTCTGTGTCTGATTGCTCCTCTTCTGATCTAGCTCTCTGGTATGGCCTGTGAAAGCAGTGGTGAATAGCCCAGGTGCTTGGGCCCCTGTACCCAACTGGGAGGTCTGGAGGAAGCTACTGGCTCCTGGCTTTGGATTGGCCCAATACCAGTTATTGCAGCCATTTGGGGGGTGAACCAGTGGATAGAAGACCTTTCTCTCTGTCTCTCCCTCTCTCTCTCTGTAATTCTGCCTCTCAAATAAATAAATAAATATTTTAAAAAATTCCCTTTCCTTTGCTTTTATGTCTCTCATTCTGGTTTTCCTTTTTGAAAAAAAAAATCATCTTCAATTGCTTCTGAGAGAATAATAGATTGTATGTGAGATATCTAAAGATCTGAAATTACGTGTGTATATGTTTAAATGGTTGCAGATAAAATATTTTCATTTGTCTAAGGAGGAGAACTGAGAACAGTAATTAACAGGTAACCATTGGCATATCACCCTGTGTTGATCAAGAAATTAAAAGAGAAAATATTCTTCAAGTACTCATGGCATAAGGGACATAAATTCATAAATGGGGAGGAGAACATGGAATAGAATGAAAAAGGACTAAGTGTCCTACAATTTTAATCTCATAGTATTATGTGTAGTATAAAAGCAAAATAATATATAGCATCAATTTTAATCTTACAACTTTAACCTCATGGTATTATGTATAGTATAAAAGCAATATAATATACAGTTGTGAGATAAAAGTCTTAAGTTGCAAATTGTAATATTCAAATGGAAAATCTGCTTATTTTTCTCTCAAATATTTGGTATTGAGGAAAGTTTGGGTTATTTTTTAAATCTATAAAGTTCCTTAATTACTAAGAGCTGATCCTACTTCTAAATTCTACCCATAGTTACTTTGTTCTTATAAATTGTTTTGCTGAAGTTTTCCAGTAGTGTGATATGTATTAAATTGGTCCTAAGCAGTGTTCTTAAAATGCTGTTTTGAAGATTCATGCCCTGTAAACCAGTTGCCCTCTCTCATGGGGCTTCTGTGTGAGTGTAATGCAGCTAACATTTCTAGGAATTAACCTACGCCTTCCAGTGAATTTCACACTTATCAGGAGAACTCTGTTTAAAGTGTCTAACCTTTGGTTGGTCAATATGTCGTGCCACGTGTGGTTAAAGGGCCCCACATGCTGTGTCTCATTTAACCCTCACAACCTTTTGAGTAGGGTACTGTTATCATTCCCATTTTATAAATGATGAAACTGTGTCACAGAATTTTAGTGCGATTACTTTGCTCAAAGTCACTACTCAAGGTCAGATTTAAGCCTAGGCAATTTAACTCCATAAGTAAAACACTATGTATCATTTTAACTTAGCCTTATTTTTTGTTCCTATTCAAATTCCTCTTCTATGAGGGATAATGATGTTATATTTAAAAACTGTTCTTATGTAGGAAAGCAGTAAACCACATCATTTAACTCAAAAACATGTCCATTAAAATCTTTTCTGATAACTATAAACCAAAAGATAATGACAATAAAATAGTTCATATTTTAATAAGAATTGATTACTTTTAATTTTTACATTCAAAGTATCTCTATATAACCTATAAACGTTTAGCAGAAATACATATTGCTTAGTCTGTGAGAATTTCATGCCTGAAGCAATCTCTCTGATTGTGTACATAGATAATATATTTTATGTAGCTCTAGTTAATTATAAAATTTTTCCACATATATTTCATCATGTAATCCTCGTAACAACTTTTTATTATTCCATTTTGTGATGATAAAACTGAAGCCAACACACAAAAATTGACTTCCTCAAAATCAAAATCAGTGAGATGGAGCAGAGCCAAGATTCAAACCTATATTTGTCTTATACTAGAGGAATATGTGTGATACCTGCTTGACTCATACAAGGACAAATAATGAGATAGAAAGATAATGTTATGTGATTTCAAAAAGTAGAAGTGGCTTAAACAGGAGTGGAGTTGCTACTTACTTGTAAAGGAAGGGAAAGTTTGAATGCGGTGCTTGAGAATGCTTTGGCTATTTTAGTTAGAGAATAACTGTTTCAATGGTCAGTTATTTTATTGGTGCCAATTTTAGTAAGAAAAAGAGACAATTTTGTGGTAGAAGGCTATTTTCCAGTTTCGAGGAGAAAGAAAAAGCCATATTTCATTCTTTGAAAGTAATGATTCAACATAACCAAAGTCATAGACCAATGGCTTTTTGTTCCTCTTTTCGTCATGTAGACTTAAGTCTGACTTTACTACAGCATGTAGCTGGTGGATGCAGACTTGATTTTACAAAAAGATAGCTTGCCTGAAACTAAAAGATAACATTTATATTGAGAAACTAACTCCTTTGGAGTTCAAGGTTGGTAAGAATTGTTTTTAGTTTTGCATTTGAATTCATATTTTGGGCCATAGAGACTTATTTGACCATGGTGAATAAAAACCTGAGAGACTGAAGACTCACCTAATACCCATAACTACCTTGCAAACGTAGTTTTTCCAGTCTGAAACTTTGTTTTACAACTGTATGAGTTCTGTCATTCCAATGTTAATAAAAAGAGTTACCTCCTACCCAATCAGAGACTTCCAGGAAACGACAGCAGACATCCAGACAGTACAAGGACCAGACAGGGTAAAAGGAAGAGGAGCACTTGGCAACAACTTAGATGCCTTCTGTCTGCCAGTCTGCCAGTGTTAAAGATGTTAAAAAGGAAGTATCTATGAACTAAGTCTCCACTTGAATTACTTGTGAGATCTATAGAAATAGAATTATGTTTTAGTTAGACACATTTCAGGTATATCACAAAAGTTTGGCCAGCAAAGAACTTAATTCTTTTAATTTTTAGCAGCAAACAGGAGAATTAGATAATTATAGTGTTGCATGGATGTTTTGAGGATTATTCCATTTCCAGTGATTCTCAGACTTGGCTGGCTATGTTGATAGTAGTTAGCGCTCTGTTTAATACAGATCCTCAGGTTCCATCCTAGAGGTTCTGATTGGTTGAGTCTTGGGTAGAATCTCAAAATCTGTATAACTTTTAAATTTCCAAATGAATCCAGTTGACAGCCAAGTCCACCAGACCTAATCTACTTTCAGACTACAAAGTAGACCCTCCTTGCTGAAAGAAAGAAAGAACCACTATTTTTTTTAAAAATAGAGAAAGGAAATAAGTTCCAGTCTTCCAGAGGATGTTACTTTTCCGAATCTACATACCTTTTTTTTTTTTTTTGGACAGGCAGAGTGGACAGTGAGAGAGACAGAGAGAAAGGTCTTCCTTTTGCCGTTGGTTCACCCTCCAATGGCTACCGCGGCCGGCGCACCGCGCTGATCCGATGGCAGGAGCCAGGTGCTTCTCCTGGTCTCCCATGGGGTGCAGGGCCCAAGTACTCGGGCCATCCTCCACTGCACTCCCTGGCCACAGCAGAGAGCTGGCCTGGAAGAGGGGCAACCGGGACAGAATCCGGCACCCCTACTGGGACTAGAACCCAGTGTGCCGGCGCCGCAAGGTGGAGGATTAGCCTAGTGAGCCACGGCGCCAGCCCGCCTTTTCTTTTCTTTTGGAATTTACCCTGTTTCATCAACATTCAGGTATACATTTTAAATGAAATCTGAAATTGAGATGCCTTGTGTCTTGTTAATTGAGACATCATTGTTTGAGAACTGTTGATCCTGGCAAGATCATTGAGTGCAAGTGTCAGAGGATCTTACACTCAATCAAATGCAGTATTTTTCTTCTATCATAATAAAAAAATTTGAGCCAATCCAAAGGCTGGATTTCATTTCTGGTGTCCCAAATTTTAGCAGGTCAGCTCTTCCATCACTTGTCTGGACTTCTGTGTAGCCTATCCCTAAAGAAATCTGTTCTTCACCAAGGATTCTGGGAAGCTGGCAGATCTTTCCCTGTCCTGCTAAGGAAGGGTCTCTCCTGTGGCTCAGAAGGCTGTGAACTTAACTAGACATGAACAGTGCTAAAACGTAATGCATCAGACTCCATGGCCTGGTACTCGAGTGTCTCTTAGCTTTCTTCTTCTGTTCCCCATATGCAGCTTGAGTGAATCAGCAAAAACTACCTGGCTCTGCTTTCATGAATCCACCTGGACTTTTCCAGTCCCAGAGACATAATGGATCAGACCATAAACTGTGTGTCAGATTTCAGAAGAAAGTAGGGAAGGCCCTGAACATTTAGTAGTATATTGACTCACTCATATCTGATATTTGCCTGGTTACAAACTGAAATGAATTTTAAAAATACAGTACTGGCTCATAAAAATTAATCTTGATTAACTGAATATGGAATAATTCGCAGGCAAGGTCATGGCATATGACAGTTGGTTCTCTCATTCAGTTATGTGAATTGGCCAAATTTCGTGAGTTTCAGAAGGTGGAGATGGTAATCCCAAACTGCTCTTCACTTAGAAATCAGTGAAAATGAAAAGCCACACCAAACTTGACATTCACTACCTTTTAAAATCTAATCTGAATTCTGTCTGCTCACTAATAAAGATAATATAAATAACTATAACATATGTAATAATGTAGTACATGTACATTAGCTAAAGGTAATCCTTTTTATGTCTGTTTCCAGCATTCAAGGAAAAACCTCAGTATCCACCGAGCCAGGCTCAAGCAGCTCTCCGTGACAGTCCGCCTGAAGAGTACTCCTATAAGAAATCGATAAGAAACCTATTTAAAAATATTCCTTTTGTCCTTCTACTGGTCACTTATGGTAAGTGCGTTCTTGTATAGTTTAATGCCTCCATAAGCCTTTGAGCATTTTGGGTTCTTTTCATGTAACATGGTGGTTTGGACTTTAATAAGATTGATTTGGTGAACTCTTTAAAAAATAATGACTGCACAGCCATGAACTTAAATATTGAATTAAAAAGTGAAAAGGCCAGGATGGGTATTTTTACATTTTTTTTAGATCTCAAATAGAGAAGTTCTGCGTCTTTCGTGAGTTTTCATAGAGTTTAGGCCATTATGAACTATAATTATGACTGCTGTAAGCATGTGGGAAATGCTGTCAACAGCTCCGTTCTTTGACGTTGTGCAAACTGGCATCTGTTTTGACTACTCTACTGAAGCTAGAGGCCACTCTAACCAATTCTGACTTTAAAGAAAGAGAATTCTCATTCCTCTGCCAGATGCTCCCCCTAACACTACAGCTTTGACTGCAATGGCAATACGCTCAGTTCTCTGCAGTTCCCTGAGTTTATTCTCTGTTGCTTATGTTGACGCTGCTGCGTTACCATATAGCCAGCATAACAACTGGCACTCCCTGATGCTGTTACTCGCCTAATTCACTGCTGTACACAGTGAATTACACAACTGACTGCTGTTCTCTTTTTTACATTTTTAAGGGGGTGCACACCTTTTAAATAAATGTTTTATAAATTGTAAGAGATTATGTCCCAACCTGAACTCTTACACCTTTACAGAAATTGTTTATCACTTGGTAGAATATTTAATCCAATGAACTCCCATGGAAGCCCTCTCCCAGCTTTGACAGTTATCAACCATGCTTGCTTGATCTATTTTCTCTGTTCCTGGAATATTTTAAGGTAAATCCCAGATGTTACAGCATCTCATCTTTAAATACTTCAGCAAGTGACTTCCCTGTTTGGGTTAAACCTGAAATTTCTAACTGGAAGTAACATACGGTGCTCACTATTATCCATCAGAGTGAACAATTTTCTTTAGCATGTCATTTGTGATAGTGTTTTTCCTACTTCTCTTTTACCCCTTGCTGAATCAATCCATTATGCTCTTACACAGATTTATCTCCACATGCCAGTGCCCTGTTTATTGTTATCTCTAAGCAGACCTTCAAGAGCTAGCTTAAGGTTTACCTCATTTATTGTTTTTTTTTTTTTTTTTTTTTTATTTGAAAGGTAGAGTTATAGACAGTGAGAAAGAGAGAGAGACAGCGAGAAAGGTCTTCCTTTTGTTGGTTCACTCCCCAAATGGCTGCTATGGCTGGCGCTGCGCTGATCCGAAGGCAGGAGCCAGGCTGCTTCCTCCTGGTCTCCCATGGGGTGCAGGGTCCCAAGCACCTGGGCCATCCTCCACTGTCCTCCCAGGCCACAGCAGAGAGCTGGACTGGAAGAGGAGCAGCCAGGACTAGAACCTGCACCCATATGGGATGCTAGCGCCACAGGCGGTGAGCCATGGCGCTGGCCCCATCATTTATTGTTGATTTTGTTATTCTTTTATTGGTTAATTCCATCATTAACTATCAAATTGCAACTAAATATATACTAGTACTCTCTGGGCTGTGTGGGCTAGAGAGAAGCGTGCTGTATGATCCTCTGCCTGTAGTCATCCATCATTCAGTCAGCAGAGGTGATCTAAACATCTGAAACACAATAGCATGGGAGGTTTTTATCAGAAAGGTAACAATGCACTTGCTCCACAAGTTGGGGCCTTCAGGATACATCACTGGGAAAGGAGAAATGCAGAGAAGGGCTATGGGTGACAGGAGAGCCTCATGGAAGAGTAGGATTGAATGAGGCCTTAAAGAATGTGTTGGGGGCCAGCACTGTGGCGTAGAGAGTAAAGCCTGTGCCTGCAGTGCTGGCATCCCATATGAGCACCGGTGCAAGTCCCAGCTGTTCCACTTCCAGTCCATCTCCCTGCTAATGCTTCTGGGAAAGCAGTGGAAGATGGCCCAAGTCCTTGGGCTCCTGGGTGGGAAATCCGGAAGAAGCTCCTTGCTCTTGGCTTTGGATCAGCCCAACTCTGGCCATTGCAGCCCATCTGGGGAGTGAACCAGCAGATGGAAGACCTCTTTCTCTCTCTGCCTCTGCCTCTCTGTAACTCTGCCTTTCAATAAATAAATAAAATCTTTTAAAAATTTTATAAAAAAAAAAAGAGTGGGTTGGATTTGGGTAGACAGAGGGGAAAGGGAAATGAAATGCGCAGGGCCGTAGGTGGTGCTGTCTGTACTCTGACTTCTATGGAATGTTTGTGTCTGAACTTTGTACTTCCTCAGTTAGACATAAATGATTAGGTAAAAATTTGTTGAGTTTGTGATTTATAAAGTGCTTCTATATGTAATTTTTATTTAACTCTTCAAACAACTCTGTGAGATACAAAGTCTATATGATACGTATATAATTGCTTTAAACTATAAGTGTCAAGTGTATGACCTGCAAAGCTAGAAATATTTGCTATCTGGCTCTTTGCAGAAAGTGTTAGTTGAGCCCTTGTTTATTAAAATAATGCAAGAGAACCTAGAGAAAACTGGTAAACTAAGAATTAGTTCAGTGAGATTACTTAACATCTGACAATGTGAAAATATCCACTGCATTCCTATGAAAAGACACTTTTTATAGTAACAACCAAAACTTGAAATAAATCTACAAAAATACCTTTATAGAGAAAATAAGAAAACACTGAAAGGCATAAAAGAAAGTCTAAGTAATTTAAATGGGGGCTAAACCATGTTTACAGGAGACGTAACATTATAGTGATGCCAGTTAACCTTACAAGACCACTGACAAATGCCAGTTGGCAATTTAGACTGAGGATAAGGTCAGAGACTGTAAGGAAATTCAACAGTTTCCTTGTTGAAGGAGTGTAAAGAAGAAGGAGTTGGGAAACACTGCAGAGTTCAGCAACATTCCCCAGTACAGTTGGAGGAGGTTTCTTGGCCTCATACACTTCACCAAAGGGATGCAAGTTAGGGATTGTAAGTTTGCATGAGGGTCACATCACATTTCTCTTTGTACACTTGCCCCTCAGTGACTAGTATTGTGAACAAAAGGTCACAGCCATCTTGCATGTAGGTGAGTCTTAATAAGGATTGTATACTCAGTGTCCAAAACTCAGGAACCAAAAGGACTGATGTAAAATTTTTGGAGGTTAGGCTCTTTGGAGAAAATGTGATCCCTCTTATCCCAACTATATATTTTCTCTGTGAAACTCAGAAAAACACCACACTCTAGATTCAGATAGCATAGCATTCATTGCTACTATAACTGCATCCAAACTCTGTCGTTCTTCAGGCTTGGAGGAGATTTAAGATCGCTCACTATAGGGTACAAGGCTTGAGCACAGCCTCCTCTGTTATTCTCAGCTTCTCCAGGCGAACCCAGCGGTCCAGGTGCATCCTTGAACTTGGTGAGAAAGTATCAATGACCACTTACCTAGGTGTTTTTTCTTTTAAACATTTATTTATTTATTTGAAAGTCAGAGTTAGAGAGAGGGAGAGAGGTCTTCCATCTGCTGATTTGTTCCCCAGATGGCCGCATGGCCTGGACTGGGCCAGGCCGAAGCCAGGAGCTTCATCTGAGTCTCCCACATGGGTGACAGGGGCCCAGACACTTGAGCCATTATCTGAGGCTTTTCCCAGGCCATTAGCAGGATGGGAAGTGAGCAGCCAGGACACAAACTGTCCCCCATATGGGATGCCAGCATCTCAGGTGGTGGGTTTGCCTGCTACGCCACAACACTGGCCACCCCAGGTGGTTTTGATTAGTTTAGCTGACAGGCTTTTAGGCCGGCTATAGGCCTCATCTTGCAATCTCCAGTTTAAACAGGTTTTAATGGAAGTTGACTAATTCTCAGGTTCCTGTGAGAGAAGATCTACGAACAACAAAAATGATGTTGATGAAGAACGAGTTGAGGACTCATTCTCACATGTCAGGATTTACAACGCCGTGGTGATTCACATCCATGAGTAGCAAGAGGTGGACATTTCGATCCCCGGCACAGAACACAGAGCTCAGTGGCTAACCTGTCACTTGGGATAGGCTGGGTTCTGTGACTGTCCTGAAACCCTGCTAGAAAATATTTAGTGGGCTAACACATCAAACATCTATTTACTTACTAGTAAGGAAATGTAAGTCAAAGCCAGAGTAAGCTACAGTATCATACACTCTCAAATTGGCCAAACAATTTTCACCAGATTTTAAGTAAACAAACTTGACAAGCATTCACAGCAACAGGAACTTGCCTGGTAGTATAAACAAATCGTGCCACTTTGAAGAGTGGTTTGTCTGTATCCAGAACATAGAATTTCTACTCCTAGACAAGCTGTGTACATAAGAACGAAGACATAGTATTCATGGCAAGTTGCTTTTAAATAGTAAAAAAACTGAAAAAAAAATTTATCTACCAAAAGGACAAGAAATAATTATATTGAAGTGTATTCACACAATGGAATATTATATAGCAGAGAAAACAATCAAAATAGAAAGGATTCATTGTGTAGATCTCAGAACATAATGCTGAATGATAAAAATAAATTACAGATAGACAGAAATCATTTATATTGTTTAAATACACGCAGAGTAATTCAAATTACTTATAAATTCTCATGTATGGTAACATATAGAATGATAAACACTAGATCCAAGGTAGGGGTTATTTTTGGGAAAGAAGACAGGACAGGATTGAGAAAAAGTCTAAATAATGAATCTGAATTTGAATGTTCATCAAAACTTGTTGATGAGTAAGGATATTTGTATATGAGTCTATTCTCTACACTATTTCACATGCTTGGAATATTTAAGAATAAGAGAGAAAAATAGTAAACTAATGTCTTGGCTAGATTGAGAGGCTCATTCACAGGAACAGAATACATGCAAGGAACACGAGGGCTTAAACCTAGCGCGATTCCTAATAACCAACTGTGTTTAGTTTTTTCCTTATAAATCTTCTTTTCTTAAATATTTATTTATTATATTTGAAAGGCATAGGACGGAGAGAGGGGGAGACACAGAGAGATATCCTCCATCTACTGGTTTACCCCCCAGATGGCCACAACAGCTGGGGCTGTGCCAGGCCGAAGCCAGGAGCCAGGAACTCCATCCAGGTCTCCCACATGGATGAGAGGTCCAAGCTTCTGCTGCTTTCCCAGGTGTATCAACAGAGACCTGGATCAGAAGTGGAGCAACTAGAATTTGAACTGGTGCTCTGATATGGGATGCCAGGGTTGCAAGTGGCAGCTTAACTACCGTAGCACCCGTCCCCCTAAATATTCTTTAATTAACGTTGTCTTGCTCGTTGTCTTGTAAGTCCTGGTCACCAAACCAGGATGTCTGCTTTGCTTTTAGCATTTGTTGGCCAGAGTTCATTGAAGGGGCTCTTTTTCAATTCATTGCTTTTTGGGTTGCCACAGTGTTACATGTGAGGGTGTGACTTAGGGTCAGTATATCTGAATCAATAATAAAATGTTATGACAGAATTCTGTCATGGCTCTAGTGAATTTAGGTGCTGAATTGATCAGTCCCTCTCCTGAAAGAGGATGGCAGTAATTTTTAAATTTTGTCATGTGTCTAAGAAATATACTCTCTTTTCACAGTCGTCACATAGGATTCCACATCCCTTCAGGAACTGATAGATTATACAGTTATAATTTTCTCTTTATTGTTATAGGAATCATGACTGGAGCATTTTATTCTGTCTCAACATTATTAAATCAAGTGATATTGAAATATTATCCGGTAAGCTTCTATCTACATTGTACTGCATGCCTAGGCAAGAATTTTTCTTTACCAATATAATTCCTGTTAGCATGACTGTAAGATTACAGATTATGACCTTGTTGCTATAAAAGATTTGCATTTGTTTTATTGAGAATACCTTTAAACCAATTTACAAAACACATAGCATGGAAAGCAGAAGTTACTGCTTTGACAAAACCTAAGTTTTTGTTTTTTCTTTTTTAAAGAAATAGTGTCGCTGGTTACATGGGAAAAGACAAAACATTTATTTAAGGGATATCAACAATACATTTAAAGAAGTAAATATCAAGCTCTAAGTGACCTCTTTGCTTTTGAAAGCAGAAAGCAGTTGTATTCTGTGTAAACTATCAGCTTGACTCCTTTTCAGACATCTGTAAATTACTTAAGAATCCTAACAAAAATCATTGTACTTCTAACCACGGATAGGCAAGGAAGCATTTTCATTTTTGTTTCTTTCATGATTCTAAGATTTTCCTTTCCTGGTTTTAAAATAGAATGCCCATCCCCACATTGTACTGTGTCTCCCTGTTATATTGTATACTTCATTTTATGATTGTTTCTATTGACTATGAGAAGGTATGGGAATGTGAAGGATCTGTTTGATTAGAAGTATCTCAGGCTGACTTCTGCAAATTGTCTTCAGGGAGAAGAAGTGAATGCTGGAAGGATAGGGTTAACTCTGGTAGTAGCTGGAATGGTGGGCTCTATTCTTTGTGGCTTGTGGCTGGATTACACCAAAACATACAAGTAAGTGAACATAGATGTATGAATAGTATAAAAATCAAAGGTGTTTGGTTTTAGAGGAAATTTTACTTTTTATTTTAATAAATTTAAAAAGTATTGTTATTAATAAAGATTTGGATTTGCATCAGTTACCAGACATTTCAGTAGTCTTATGCATTGTCTTATTTTATTGGTCAGACTGGTTTCAACTCTTGAGAACTTGCATACCTTATGAACCTTCTCCCATCTGACATCACTCACAGAGACCACTCCAGAAGGAATCTTTTCTATTCCAAAAAAACTCCTTTTGAAAAACATTTCAACCAGCGCCACGGCTCAATAGGCTAATCCTCTGCCTGTGGCTCCGGCTCACCGGGTTCTAGTCCCAGTCGGTCAGGATTCTGTCCCGGTTGCCCCTCTTCCGAGCCAGCTCTCTGCTGTGGCCCGGGAGTGCAGTGGAGGATGGCCCAAGCAATGGGCCCTGCACCCGCATAGGAGACCAGGAGGAAGCACCTGGCTCTTGGCTTCGGATCAGCGTGGTGCGCCAGCCACAGCACGCCGACCGCAGAGGCCATTGGAGGGTGAACCAACGGAAAAAGGAAGACCTTTCTCTCTGTCTCTTTCTCTCTCACTCTCCACTCTGCCTGTCAAAAAATTAAAAAAACAAAAAACAAACAAAAAAAAATTTCGCTTTTGATGGAGACTTTATCTTATTCTTTTCTTATGCTGTGGGCTTAAAAACAAAGTTATTTTCTGTCAAAAAGATTATTATTGGTTGTAGGGCTTTGTTTTGTTTTGTTTTGTTTTTGGTAAGAGCTTTGTGGCTAAAGTGCACCCAACTAAAGCACTACTTAAGCATAATATGGAAATTCTGTATTAATTGTTCATCTATATAGAACAAGCAAAATGCTTGGGAAATGAAGTTTCAGAGGCAGCATCTTTTGCTCTGGGCCTTTAAAGAATAACCATTTTCTTTTGTTTTGTATTTTTGTTTTCTTAATTTGAGAGGTAGAGAGACAGATTAGACTGGAGAGAGCTCCCATCTATTGATTTATTCCCTGAATCTTACGATGGCAAGAGATGGGCCCAGCCAAAGCTGGGAGCCAGGAACTCAATCCAGGTGTCCCACGTGGGTCCTGCTCAGAAACTCAGTTATTTGGGCCATCACTGCTGCCTCCCAAGGTCTGCATTAGCAGGAAGTTGGAATCAGAAGCCCGAACACTGAATTGAACCCAGGTACTCCACAATGTGTGATGTGGGCATCTTAACCATTAAACACCTGCCCCACATTTTTTAATAGGCCAGAAAATTCCCACCTAATCTACCTGGGGAAATACATGAATGAAACCATGAAAAAATCAATGGAATTAAATAAAATGAATTGTTGAAATGTGGCCCAGGATAGCTTTGAAGGCCCAGGATACTTTTGATACAGTTATTCTAAACCCTTTTAAAAGTATCTCTGATCTTGAAATTCTCTAAGATAGTCCTCTCATAATTTAAGATAGCATTTGATGCAGCTACATTATTATGAAATGATAGCTTAGAAGGCCAGCGCCGCGGCTCAATAGGCTAATCCTCCGCCTTGTGGCGCCGGCACACCGGGTTCTAGTCCCAGTCGGGGCGCCGGATTCTGTCCCGGTTGCCCCTCTTCCAGGCCAGCTCTCTGCTGTGGCCAGGGAGTGCAGTGGAGGATGGCCCAAGTACTTGGGCCCTGCACCCCATGGGAGACCAGGATAAGTACCTGGCTCTTGCCATTGATCAGCGTGGTGCACCAGCTGCAGCGTGCCGGCCGCGGTGGCCATTGGAGGGTGAACCAACGGCAAAAGGAAGACCTTTCTCTCTGTCTCTCTCTCTCACTATCCACTCTGCCTGTCAAAAAAAATAAATAAATAAATAAAATGATAGCTTAGAGTGAAATTAATTCAATTTGTAGATGAAAGGAACATATATAAACAGTTACATTCCTTAATAGCCTTTGGTCCATTAGAACACTTAATAGGCATAGAAATAGGGGCCTGTTCTGTGGCGGTAAAGCCACCGCCTGCAATGCCAGCATCCCATATAGGCTCTGGTTCAAGGCCTGGCCGCTGCACTTTAGATCCAGCTCCCTGCTAATGCTTCTGGGAAAGCAGTGGAAGATGGCCCAAGTGCTTGGACCCCTGTCACCCATGTGGGAGACCAGGAAGAAGCTCCTGGTTCCTGGCTTTGGCTTGTCCCAGCCTTAACTGTTGAAACCATTTGGGAAATAAACTAGCAGATGAAAGATCTCTGTCTCTCCTTCTCTCTCTCTCTCTGTAACTCACCTTTCAAATAAAAATCTTTTTAAAAACATTGGGATAGAAATATGTTCTTTGCTACCCTGGCTTTTTTCTCAGGATAGCTGCTGTCCTCTCACTCTACTCCTGTTGTATGAATCTTTGTTAGGTAGGAATTATGGCAAGCTATGTGTGACCCTCATCCTCAGGACTCTTATGGTCTAAATAGGAAAAATGAAGCATTCACATAAGGAAAGTAAAATGATGTCATAAGTCCAATAGATGTCAAATGCCAGTTGTCTAGCTATAAATGAGAAAGGAAGTTTGGAAGAATCTTGTAAGCTTCAGTAATTAGGGAGGCATTTGGAACATGTAGAATTTTGTCTGAATTTTAAGATTTATTTGTTTTTCTGGAAAGTAGAGAGAATCTTCAATTAGTCACTTCACTCAAATGGCCATAGTAACCTGGGGCAGGCTGAAGCTAGGAAATAGGAATTCCAGCCTGCTCTCCCACGTGGGTGGCAAAGGCCCAAGCACTTCAGCACTCCGATATAGGATGCTGGCCTCCCGAGCAGTGGCATAACCTGCCACACCATAGCACCCACCCTGATCTGAATCTTCAGATATGAATAAAGAACTATCCCATTTGCTATCATAAAAATTATTTTATCCATATGAATATCTCCTAAGTTATTGGATGTGATGTGAATTTATTGCCTGCTGCCACTGAATCTTAATCTTTAAAGTCTATGTGGATACATTGTCTTTTTTTTTTTTTAAGATTTACTTATTTGAAAGGCAGAGTTACAGAGAGGAGGAGGCAGAGAAAGAAAGAGATCGATCTTCCATCCTCTGGTTCACTCCCAAAATGGCCACAATAGCTGGAGCTGGGCCGATCTGAAGCCAGGAGCTTCCCCCAGGTCTCCCACGTGGGTGCAGGGCCCAAGGACTTGGGCCATCTTCTACTGCTTTCTCAGGCCATAGCAGAGAGCTGGATCAGAAGTTAAGTAGCCGAAACTTGAACTGGCGCCCATAGGAGATGCTGGCACTGCAGGTGGCGGCTTTACCTCACAGTGCCGGCCCAGATATATTTTCTATAGATAAAAAAGTAGCAGAAAATTTGGAAAAAGCAAAGATTTATTAATATACAGATAAAGAAAGCTAGCCAAATGATTTTTTATGTACCTAGGAGAATCAGACAAAATAACAATTTTGTTGTTTTTGTTTTAGACAGACTACTCTCATAGTTTACATTTTATCTTTTATCGGAATGGTTATATTTACTTTCACATTGGACCTTGGATACATTATCATCGTGTTTGTTACTGGAGGGATACTTGGGTAAGTATCAAAGGTGTCCAGGGAAATGGCAGCATGCTGTTACCATTCTGAAGTATTATCACCCTAGTTTCTCATTTTTAGGTTCACTCAAATATTGTTTAATATTTTAAGCTTCAAAGGGTCCATTCTGTGCATATAAATGTGTGATTCTTCAAAACTCTAAAAATTAATTTTTTGGCATGTTATTGGTAAAAAATAGGTATGCTTTACTTGATCTAAGTAATTTTATGTGGTTATTAAGACAATTGACTTAGAAAGACAGAGGTATATTTTTCTCAGAATAAAGCACAGGAATTGTGTTTGTTGCAAGTTATGTGACCTGGGGCTGATGGGACAACTGTCATGGTTCATTACAAAGCGACTTCATAATACACACTTGCTTGATGATATAATAAGTCTGAGAGGTAGAGTGGTCACCTCCACACAGGATGTTGTCCTCCTGGTCACTCTTCTGTCATGTTGCATTTATCTCCTAGTTTCTTCATGACTGGCTACCTCCCCTTGGGCTTCGAATTCGCTGTTGAAATCACTTACCCTGAATCTGAAGGTACTTCCTCTGGTCTTCTTAATGCTGCTGCACAGGTAAGTCCCTGATCCCTCTTAGCCCTGTGGTGATCATTTTATCAAACATTCTGGTACATAATGAGTCTGCCGGACTTTTGTTTCCACTTTTCAATGACTGTCTCTAGACGTGAAATCACATGAAATCAAATCAGTTAAGTTCTTGAGAAAAAGTTTCTACCTGTTTTTTAAGAAGCAAACTTCATAAAAATGATTTATTTCATTTTAGATATTTGGAATTTTGTTCACATTGGCTCAAGGAAAGCTCACATCAGACTATAGCCCAAGGGCAGGGAACATTTTCCTCTGTGCTTGGATGTTTGTCGGCATCATTTTAACAGGTAACGGAGGGCATCTGCCTGGACAACGTCCTATGGTCTTGTCTTTGTATTTTATTATGTGGATTGCTTTTTTTTTTTTTTTTGCCTTTTTTTTTTTTAGATTTATTTATTTATTTGAGAGGCAGAGCTGGAGATAGAGAGAGGTCTTCCATCCAATGGTTCACTCCCTAAATGGCCACAATGACTAGAGCTGGGCCTATCCAAAGCCAGGAGCCAGGAGCTTCTTCTGGGTCTCCCATGTAGGTACAGGGGCCCAAGGACTTGGGCCATTTTCCACTGCTTTCCCAGGCCATTAGCAGGGAGCTGGATCAGAAGTGGAGCAGCTGGGACTCGAACTGGTGCCCATTTGGGTTGCCAGTGCCTTGGGTGGAGTATTAACCTACTACACCACAGCGCCAGCCCCACATGTTGCTTCTGAATGCAAGAGAGAAAATGAAGTAAAAAGCAAGATGTTGGGGCCGGCGCTGTGGCATAGTAGGTTAATCCTCCACCTGTGATGCCGGCATCCCCTATGGGTGCCGGTTCTAGTCCCAGCTGTTCCTCCTCCAATCCAGCTCTCTGCTGTGGCCTAGGAAAACAGTAGTGGATGGCCCAGGTCCTTGGGCCCCTGTACCCATGTGGGAGACCTGGAAGAAGCTTCTGGCTCCTGGCTTCAGATTGACACAGCTCCAGCCTTTGCAGCCATTTGGGGAGTGGCCCACCAGAAAGAAGACCTTTCTCTTTGTCTCTCCCTCTTGCTGTCTGTAACTCTACCTCTCAAATAAATAAAATATTTTTTTTAAAAAAGCAGTATGTCATTTGTTTATGCTTTCAAGGATATGAATCTATTAAATAATTTTGCAGGTTTCACATGCAGTATGATTACTCTGCATAGAAAGCAAAACTGTCATATGTATGTCATATGTAACAAGAATAGTACAGATCCGGAGGTGGGAAGAGCCTGCTTCACAGTCTGATTCTGCCACTCATTGGCTGTGTGACTTTAGAAAAGTTACTTAACCTTTCAAATCCTCCTTTCTTCATTGGAACATTAGAAGATGCTTTATAGGGCTACTATAAGCATTAACCAAGGTGGTTTATGAAAAACTCTTAGGATGTACCTAATACATGTTAGCTTTGAGTATAATAGAGTAGTGGTGGTGAGAAGTCCTGTGGTGATGGTAAAAATAGCATGTGTGATGGTTGGCTATTTTTTTTCTAAGATTTATTTTTTTATTTGAAAGGCAGAGTTACTGAGAGGCAGAGGCAAAGAGAGAGAGAGACAGATCTTCAATCCGCTGGTTCACTCCCTAAGTGACCACAATGGCTGGAGTTGGGCATATCTGAAGCAGGAGCCATGAGCTTCCTCCAGGTCTCCCACATGGGTGCAGGGGCCCAAGGACTTGGGCCATCCTCCACTGCTTTCCCAGGCCATTAGTAGAGAGCTGGATTGGAATTGGAGTATGTGGGACTTGAACCCGCACCCATATGCACAGGATGCTGACTCTGCAGGCAGCAGCAGGTAACTGCTATGCCACAATGCCAGCCCCAGCTAGCTAGTTCTTACACTTTCAGGTGTGATCAGAAGAGATGTCAACAGTAGAGAGAATGTAATAGAACTTTTACCCTTGTTTTGTACATGCACACAGGTGTAATGATGGATTTGGAAGCACAACTTACGTTCAGTGGTGTTTCTAGGCCCATGATGGCTTCTACTTTTATTTTGTGTTGTGAATTTCTTTCTGCATCCCTTTACCAACAGAAGAGGAATAAGCCATGGGATACATGCAGACATGCAGAGGGATTAATTCTTTGATATGCTTATAACTTAGTTATAAAGATAGAGTCTGTTGGAAAGATTTTTTTAAAGATTTATTTATTTATTTGAAAGAGTTACACACAGAGAGAAGGAGAGAGAGAGAGGACTTCCATCCGCTGGTTCACTGTCCTTTGGCCTCAACGGGTGGAGCTGCACCCATCCAAAGCCAGGAGCCTGGAGCTTCTTCCAGGTCTCCCACACAGGTGCAGGGGCCCAAGCACTTGGGCCATCTTCCACTGCTTTTCCAGGCCATAGGAGAGAGCTGGATCAGAAGTGGAGCAGCTGGGACTCGAAACAGCATCCATATGGGATGCTGGCACTGAAGGCAGAGGCTTGACCCACTATACCACAGCGCTGGCCCCAGTCAAAGCTTTTTTATATTTGTTGTATACTTGATTATTCTTTTTAAAGCATTCAATATGAAATCTTACCAGTGATGAACATTTATTTTGGAGACACATAACTGCCTATGGTCATTGTCATTCATTTGTTATACTCAAAGACAGTGAAAATACCCTGTTTTTTCAAAGAAAAGCATTCTGTCATGTGGGAGCTTTTCCCCATATTATCTTCACATAGTAAAATAAAGCATACAAAATTGTGAAATATGTGGTATAGTAACAGCTTTAACTACTGTTAACCTGTTGTAAATTATTCCACGTTGGCTCTTAATTTCCAGGCAAGTACCATACACAGATTCATGAAATCAGTGTTTGTTGCACCAAAAAAAGGAACAGTTTTATATTCTCTTTTCATTTATTATTATGATATTCATTAATGTTAACTTAAATCAAGTCTAAAAATAAGAAATGGGGAGTAGGAGTGTCACTGGAGAAGCGTTGTGGAAGCCGTGGGGCTCTTGTCTTCATGCAAGAAAGAATTGAGGCGTGAGACAGAGTAAAGTAAGTAGGTTTTATTGGAGATAGGGCATCCATCAGAAGGGAAGGGACAGGTAGAGGGTGCCCGGTCACTTGGACTCTGGGAGAGCTAGGTTACATGGTTGAATGGAGAGAATACACCTGGTCAGGCCAGGCTGGTGGCTCAGCAGAGAGCTGAGCACAGTCTTTGTGTAGAGTCCGGTTTGTTTGTTTGTTTGTTTATTTATTTATTTATTTATTTAATTTTTTTGACAGGCAGAGTGGACAGTGAGAGAGAGAGACAGAGAGAAAGGTCTTCCTTTGCCATTGGTTCACCCTCCAATGGCCGCCGCGGCCGGCGCACCGCACTGATCCGATGGCAGGAGCCAGGAGCCAGGTGCTTATCCTGGTCTCCCATGGGGTGCAGGGCCCAAGGACTTGGGCTATCCTCCACTGCACTCCCGGGCCATAGCAGAGAGCTGGCCTGGAAGAGGGGCAACAGGGACAGAATCCGGTGCCCCGACCGGGACTAGAACCCGGTGTGTCGGCGCCGCAAGGCGGAGGATTAGCCTAGTGAGCCGCGGCGCTGGCTGACTCCGGGTTTTTAAGGGAATCTCTTTACTCCCTGCTCCTTCTCCTTTAGGTTAAAGGGTTTTGTGGAGAGTAAGTTAACAGATTCCTCCCCAGGTTGTTGGCTCTGAGGGAGCCAGGCAGAGGGACAGGGAGAGGGGGGTCTGTGAAGGTTTTATTGCCCCAAGTTATCAGGTAAACCATTTGATCTTGAGGAGAGAGAATTCATGGGGAAAGGGCTTGGGACTACCTGGGAGGTTATCAGGGTCTGGGCAGGACTTTGAAGTGCAAAATGCTGGGCTTCCTGAGCTTCTGCTGTAGGAGCTGGTTGCTTCAGGCCCTCTCACACACACATAGGCTAATTTTTAACTTCCTGCCTAACAGGAGTTTAGCCTAGTGGGTAAGATACCTCCCACAGTGCAGTGCCTGGGTTCAAGACCCAGCTCCAGCTCCTGGCTGCAGCTTCCTTCTAAGGCAGGCCCTAGGAAGCAGCAGTGATGGCTCAAGTGGTTGAGTCTCTGCTGACCGCATGGAAGATCTGAATTGAGTTCCTGACTCTGGGCTCTGGCCATTGTCCAGCCTTAGCCATTCTGCGCATTTGGGAAGTGAACCAGTAAATGGGATTGCTCTCTCTCTGTGTCTCAGAAAAGGTGTTTTTTTTTTTTTAAACAGAGAGGTAGAAAAATACCTTTGAAATTAAATTTACGTTGATAGCGTTACCACCTAGAAATGCCAAATTCTCCGATGTATTTTATTAGAGAGAGCTTGATATATTTTCCTAAAATGTTGGTATCCAGCGATGGAGCAGAATTATAAAGGAATATGTGGATTTCAAAGCAAACATTAGGCTTCCTGTTTCCTGTTCTGAATGTAAGAAAGTTGGCAGGCTCCACTCTATAGTAACAGTGAGCAAAGAGCTGAACAAACACAGTACCCTTTTTAGAACAAACACAGAACCCTTTTTAGATGCGAAAGGCAAGTGAAGTCACAGGGTGAACCCCTGCCTCCACACAGAGAGATTCACAGCTTCCTGGAGCTGAAACTCGGTGAGACCCCCGTGCTGCCGGGAAGACCTGAACTGACACTGCTGAGTGCCAGAGGCCACTCTGAGAAGTAACACTCCTGGGCAGATCTGCTTCACATTTTTGTGAGTTTTACCACCTGCTTTGGCAGGTGGAGAAAGGAACCATTCTGAAACAGGGCGTTCTGTTCTTAACAATGCATGCCCTCAGGAGAAACTTTGCAAGCTGGGTCTGACCTGCTGGAGTTCCCTCAGAGCCTAACTGACCAGGTGGAAAGGAAATACCAACTGCAGGCTCCCCTAGCCACTTTTCTAGCTGTTCTATTCCTGCTTAGCAGGGGGTGAGACTCACCAAGAGACAGACTTAATCAGAGGACTAGAGGATGTTTCTCCTCCTGTCGTTCACCCACCACATTACTAAAGGCCTTGCTAACAGCAATTTCTTTTACATGGTCCATCATATCCAGCTACCAAGGAGAAGTTACACAACAAACTAAAAGACAGAAAGCACAGTTTGAAGAGCTAGAGCAGGCATCAGAACCAGAATTAGATATGGCAGAGATGCTGGAGTTATTAAACTGGGGATTTATTTTCACTTTATGTGAAGGCAGAGAGACAGATCAAGAGATCTTCCATCTACTGATGCATTCCCCAAATGCCTGCAATAGCCAAGGCTGGGACAGCCAAAGCTTGGGGCCCAGATCTCAATGTAGGTATTCCACATGGGTGGCAGAGACCCAAGTACTTGAGCCACTATCTGCTGCCTCGGGGGGTACACATTTGCAGGAAGCTGGGTCAGAAGCAGAGTAGCTGGGATTCACCAGGCACTCCCTTGTGAGATGTGGGCATCCCACGGGGCAGCTTAATGGCCACATCAAATGCCTTCTCCTAGACTGGGAATTTTTAAATACTATGATTAATGAGCTAAGGGCTGTGATGGGTAATGTACGCAATATGCAAGAATAGATGGGCAGGTTAATCAGAGATGGAAATTCTAAGATGCCAAAAATACTGAAGATAAAAAACATTGTAACAGAAATGAGGCTTGGCCAGCGCCGCGGCTCACTAGGCTAATCCTCCGCCTTGCGGCCGGCACACCGGGTTCTAGTCCCGGTCGGGGCGCCGGATTCTGTCCCTGTTGCCCCTCTTCCAGGCCTGCTCTCTGCTGTGGCCCGGGAGTGCAGTGGAGGACGGCCCAAGTGCTTGGGCCCTGCACCCCATGAGAGACCAGGAGAAGCACCTGGCTCCTGCCTTCGAATCAGCGCGGTGCGCCAGCCGCAGCGCGCTGGCCGTGGCGGCCATTGGAGGGTGAACCAACGGCAAAGGAAGACCTTTCTCTCTGTCTCTCTCTCTCACTGTCCACTCTGCCTGTCAAAAAAAGAAAAAGAAAGGCTTGTCTTTGATGGGCTTCTTAGTAAATTGGACATAGTTGAGGGAAGTGGCGTGAGGAGGTGACAACAGAAACTAACAAACTGAAAAGCCAAGACAAAAGACAGAGGAAACAGATCTAAGGACTGTGGGCACAAAAGAAAGAGAGCAGCAGAAGAAATATTTGAAACAAAATGACAGAACGGCCCCCAAATTAATATCCAGGAAGTTCAGAGATCCCTGGGCAGGATAAATGCCAGAAAAGTACATGTTGGCAAAAAACCAGAGGGGAGCAAAAGCCCTTCTCTGTGGCAGAGCACAGATAGGGGTGGAGTCAGACTGCTCAGAAATCCTGCAAGAAGGGACGGGACTGGAACACAGTGCTGAGAGAAAAGCCCATCATCCTAGAACTCCGTGCCTTGTGAAATTGTCCTTCAACATCAAGGAGAAATAAAAAATTCAGACAAAAATTGAGGGACTTTCTTGTCAGGAGACCTGCCTTGGAAAGAATGTTACAAAAAGCTCTTCAGAGAAAAGGGAAAAGACTTAGGTCAGGAACTGAGATCTGTGTACATAAGGAAGAGTCTTGGAGAAGGAATAAATGAGGGGAAAATGAAACCTTTTTCTTCCTGATTTAACAAATAAAAGTAAAATAATAGCAACAGGGTATTCAATTGTATATCCTTATATATGTGCCTGTGTGTATGTGTGTGTATACACTTAAATGTAAGTGAATTGAATGACAGTAATGATTACAAGGTACAGATCAGAGAATTCACGATTTTTTATTATTATTTGAAATGCAGAATTATGAGAGGTGTGGGGGTGGTGGAGATCTTCCTTCCCCTGATTCACTCCTCAGATGCCTGGAACAGCCAAGGCTGGGCCAGGCTGAAGCCAGGAACCAGGAGCTTCATCTAGGTCTCCCACAGGGGTTCAGAAGCCTAAGTACTTGGGCCATCTTTTGCTGCCTTCCCACATGCATTAGTAGGGAGCTGAATCAGAAATAGAGCAGCTGGGATACAAACCAGCGCCCATATGGGATGCCAGTGTCACAGACAGTGGCTTAACCACTGTGCCACAAAGCTGGCTCCCAGAAATCAGGATTGTTGTTAATATGTTTTAAACGTTTATTTATTTTAAAGGCAGAATTATAGAGAGAGAAAAGGGGAGAGAGACAGAGAGACAAGAGAGACAAAGGCCTTCCATCCCCTAAATGGCTGCAACTACCAGGGCTGGGCCAGGCTGAAGCCAGGAACCAGGAGTTTCTTCGGGGTTTCCCACGTGGGTGCAGGGGCCTAAGGACTTGGGCCATCTTCTGCTGCTTTCCCAGGCCATAGCAGAGAGCTGGATTGGAAGTGGGGCAGCCAGGACTCGAACCAGCACTGGCGCCGAAGGCCATGGCTTAACCTGTAGTGCCATAGCACAGGCCCCAGGATTATTGTTATCATATGGTATTCATAGTGTTATTTGAAATTAGACTTAGATTAATTGTAACTGAGTATTGCAAATTCCAGGACAATCACTAAAAAGAAAAAATATTATGACTGATATGCTAAGAAAGGAGTCAAAGTGGAATTTTATAAAATATTCAATGAGGAGGCCGGTGCTGTGGCAGAGTGGGTAAAGCCACCGCCTGCAGTGCCAGCATCCCATATGGGTGCCAGTTCAAGTCCCGGCTGCCCCACTTCCATTCCAGCTCTCTGCTATGGCCTGGGAAAGCAGTAGAAGATGACCCAAGCCCTTGGGCCCCTGCACCCACATGGGAAACCTGGAAGAATCTCCTGGCTCCTGGCTTTGATCAGCACAGCTCCAGCCATTGCGGCCATCTGGGGAGTGAACCAGTGGATGGAACACCGACCTCTCTGCCTCTGCCTCTCCTTCTCTCTGTGTAACTCTGACTTTCAAATAAATAAATAAATCTTAAAAAAAAAATGTTCAATGAAAACCGCAAGAGGCAGAAAAAGAGTAGAAGACAAAAATGGGGACAAACAACAAGAGCAGCAAATATAAGACAGTAACAGAAATGGTAGCTATTAACCCAACTCTATCAGTAACCACTTTGAGCAATGATAGTCTAAATATTCCAATTAAAAGAGATTGTCAGAGTATATCAAAAAGTAAGACTCAACTATATGTTGTCTGTAAGAAGCTCGCTTTACTGTAAAAATCCACGTAGGTGAAGTAGATGGACAGAGAAAGATAGCAAAGGAAGCATTAGGCTAACTTCTAGGATCCTGATTTTAGTTTCATCTTCTATTCCTACGTTGCTGTGAGTAATTAGATAACTGCCCACACATGACTATCTTCTTATTGTACACTCTCTTTTGAGTATGAGTGACTGTAACTACCAGCTTAACACCAGTAACTTACAAATCTGTCTCCAGACTGCAGTCTCTTACTTTTCAGACCAAGATGCCCACAGTCATGGGTCTCTCTCTTGACGTCAGCCTGTCTGGAGCAGACCTCACCGTCTGCCCACCATACCTGTTCTTTGTGTTATCGATTTCAGATGACTAGGGCCACCATCCATTCGACTGTCCAAACAAGGAAACTCTGAAGTCACCCAGCCCTCCCTTCCTGTTGTTCGTGTTCTATCAGACCAACAGCCCTTGTTATATTCCAGTCTGTCTCTGAAACCTGCCCCAGTGCCACCAGTTCTCACAGTGAGGCACTTTTTTTCTCAGCAGGATTAAAACCTCATGGCCAGGCTGCCTGCCTCCAGACCCATTGCTGTTATTCTCCACATTGCTGTCAGATTAAGCTCCCTGATACATAGATCTGATAATGTTACTCCCTTCTCTGATACCATGTAAGCTCTTTGCATGGTGGGCATGACATCTGCACACCCAGTATTTGATGTTGTAATGATCCCAGACCACCTCGAGTGTCAAGAACAGGCTGTATTCTTCCTGTTCCCCTCCTTGTGTCTACTGTCTCATACCTAGTGTGCCTTCCTCTCCTGTCTGCTCGACAAGGTCCTCCTAATTTTTCGGGCTTCATTCGAGCATGTATCCTCCAATAAGCTTTGCCTGGTTTCCCTCCTCTGACAGGCATTTTGTCTCCCATATTTCTACTACACTTTTTATGTATTGCAATATCACAGTTATCATATTATTTGCGTGTCAAAATTTTCCTAGGTTGGCAAGTCCTTTAGAGAAAAGAATTGTGCTTTTAATCTTTGTGCCTTTGGTTCTTAGAGTCCCATGTTTGTTCACAAGTGAATGACTTGTCAGTTATGTTAAAGACTGACAGGGACCAGCGCTGTGGCGTGGCAGGTAAAACCGCCACCTGCAGTGCCAGCATCACATATGGGTGCCGGTTCAAGTCCTGGCTGCTCCACTTCTTCTTTTTTTGTTTTTTTGGACAGGCAGACAGGCAGAGTTAGACAATGAGAGAGAGAGACAGAGAGAAAGGTCTTCCTTCCATTGGTTCACCCCCCAAATGACTGCTACTGCAAGCGCGTTGTGCTGATCCAAAGCCAGGAGCCAGGTGCTTCCTCCTGGTCTCCGACGCGGATGCAGGACCCAAGGACTTGGGCCATCCTCCATTGCCCTCCCAGGCCACAGTGGCTGCTTCATTTCTGATCCAACTCTCTGCTATGGCCTGGGAAAGCAATAGAAGATGGCCCAAGTTCTTGGGCCCCTGCACCCTTGTGGGAAGACCCAATGGAGGCTCCTGGCTCCTGGCTTCAGATCGGCACAGTTCTGGCCGTTGCAGCCCATTGGGGAGTGAACCAGTGGATGGAGACTCTCTCTCTGCCTCTCCTCTCTCTGTGTAACTCTAATTTTCAAACAAATCTTAAAAAAAAAAAAAAAACAGATGTACTATCATTTCTGAAGGGTACAAGGATGCTATTGAATATTATGGTACTTGAGTGTTATATTTGACAGTATGAGAAAAGACTTTTTGAACTTCTTAGAGAAAAATATACTTACAAACAATGTATGATAACTCCATTGATGCTTCTCTGTTTCAGCATTAATCAAGTCTGACCTGAGAAGACACAACATAAACATAGGAATTACGAATGTCGAAATTAAAGCTGTAAGTAATAAATATTTTTACGAGTTTATTGAGAAAAATTTTAATAGAATAAGTGTGAAGCTGTTCTTATCTAGCCGCTATTTCTTTTTCCTGGATCAACTGTCAATCTGTAAAATTAGCATATGCCAGATGCTATACTTATTTTTCCTTCTGATTCTTTTTACAGGTGCCAGTTGACAGTCCTATGGATCAAGAACCAAAAATTACGTTGTCTAAGCAGTCAAACTCATCCATTTGAGGTGAAAAGAAAAGTTGTTATCCTGCAGTAATTGGGATAGAGTGTGATGATCATGGAGTGCTCTGTGACCAGTGAGCCTGGCTTTGCAGGTGGTGGGGAATGGACACATACTTGAAAATTACTGTATGCACTCTGAATGCACAATGTCATTTTGATTTATTGTTTTAAGCAATATTTTGCTTAAAATCCTTTGCTTAAATGATGCTGACACTACCATTTGTCTAACTAGTATCCCATTTTCAGTCATATATCATGTCTGAAAGTGAGTTCCTTAACATTTACTTTTAAAAAACAGGTGTTTTTTTTGTAGAACATGGAAGTTTAGAAGACTTTCTAAAATGATAATATGGAGGTCTAGTCCTGTAAGACACATTCAAGTACATGCAGTTTATATGTAAAAGTATTCAGTGGGGGCTCCTGCCATCGGATCAGCGCGGTGCGCCGGCCGCAGCGTGCCAGCCGTGGCGACCATTGGAGGGTGAACCAATGGCAAAGGAAGACCTTTCTCTCTGTCTCTCTCTCTCTCTCTCTCTCACTGTCCACTCTGCCTGTCGAAACAACAACATAAAGATCAGTGGGACCAAATATGGAACCCACTGCTAGTTGGCTACCTTTTGACTGTGTTGACCAACCGTCCGTACCACCTCCATCTGAATACAATATCCCAGCATGATGCTACCAATCCACCAAAGGACAAAATTGAGATTAGGCTTCTAGATGATCTCTAGGATTTTTTTTCCCCGTTTCTTGTACTCTTGTTACAGAGTGCTTTGTAACAGGTACTTTCAATGGGCCACAAAACTATTCTGTGTATAGTTTTGGTCTTAGGATTATGTTCTAATTAAGCTAAGGAGCCCAGACACAATGTCAATATCTTGAGTTTTTTTCTTATTGGTTCCTATAACAGATAAATGCTAACCCTATATTTTTTCAGTCCAACTTGAAATGGAATAGTTTTGTACTCATCGCCTTTTTTATTCTCTTTTTTCAATTTATAACTTTATAGTAAGATGATTTCTTCATATATTACTAGCTATTTCATGATTTCTTACATCACATCCTGTATTTTGCCTTGAAGTTTCCTGAGATAAGGAAATGTATAACAACTTCAGCCAGCCCAGGTGTCCCCTTTTAGTGGAGACCTCTTGAAATGCTTGCTGTGCTAATCCTGCAGTGGCAGTTGTACAGCCGTTCTCCTTTGAGGCAGAAATGCCATGCCCAGGTACGTGCGCCATCAGCACAGCGGGAGGTGGATTCTCGTCTTCACCAGAGTCAGTGTAGGTCAGTCACTACGCTGTTGTAAAAGTCTTTTACATGCTCAGGGTAAGGAGAAAAGGACCAAATGTTTTCCCACAGTGCCTACCACTGTGTTTTGTTTACAGTGAGAATTTAAATGTTGTTGATATCCCGACTCTTCTAAACTTGTGGGGAATATCTTTACATTGATGACACTGATCCACCATAATATTCACATTATGTCCACAAACACAAAAAAGGCCAGTCACGTAAGGGGTATGCTTGGAGTGAATATCACTTTATTTTTTAGGTCAGTGGGAAATAATTTTAATCAAAGAATTGTCCTTTTTCTTCCCACATATCCTGTTTTGTATTAGGAAATGACATTGTGATCCATTTCATACAAGTAAAATATTACAAAATATTTACAGAAAAATATTAAAAATAACTCAAAAGGCAAGATGAAATAAACTGGTTTTTCAGGAATCTCTATTGTAGTGCCCACAGCACACAAGAAGAGAGTCAAAACAAATAGTAACTAAGATTCCCCTGATTACAAATTTCCAAAGAGCTGGAGAAGGCGCAAAACAGGGTGAAATGCTGGTGTGACAGGGGCAGATGTTAGCAGCACTGCTTCAATAGTCCATCTGTGAATATCACTTTTGATTTAAGCAGAATATATGCATTGATCCATATTGAGATGATAACATTCTCTACAATAAATTGATTACAAATGCTGCAGATCCTAACCGTGGAGAATGTGTTATCAGAACAACTGAGTTAGGAATCAGGAACTCCATGAATCCTGTCCATGTGATCTCAGAGATCTTTTAAAAGATAAGTATGTTCCTCACAGAATAGAACAAATCATTGTACCACAGGAACTCAAATCTAACTAGAGGAAGTTTCCCTGGACGATTGGATAAACAATTGTGATTGTTCCTTTGTGGATACAAAGTCTTTCAAAGCTCTGTGAGACGTTTTAATCAGTCGGTGGTAGCTCAGGCAGAATATGCCCAATCGTTAGCTACCTTTGTGTTTATATCACAGGTAAAAAATGACCAAAAATAAATTCTAAGGTTTCCCATATCCCCTAAAATAATTGTTTTTATTTTTAAACTGTCAATAGTATTTAAAATAATCATGTATTTGTTGAGTTCTTCCAGTTTTGAACAAATTACAGATAAAAGCTGGAATGGAATGCTTTATTTCTGAAAGTATGTGCATTTGGTCTATGTCATGTATTTTTTTCTTGTTGATTAGAAAAGGGGTGAAATATATGATAAACTATAAAATGAATGGATAATTTTTTCTGTATTTTGAATGTAAGTTATAGAGTATGTCAAACAAGAATGTCATAACTTTGGAGTATGCAGTAGGTAATTATCACCTGTGTAAATCTTTGATTTTAGCCAAGAAACCAGATGCTTTCAAAAGCTATTGCGTTTATAAATGTTGTAAGTATAGCTTTTGCCTTTTGAAGATGTTGGAGAAATGTGTTTAAAAGTATGTTTGTGTATAATAGGCTGAAGATATGCCTATATCTTGAGTCATTATTCACATTCAAAGTTTTTGCTCTTTGTACTTATTTATCTGTATGCTTATTCTTCAGTACTTCCGGTTCAAAATAAGTTTATTTTTTTAAATGTTAATTTTGTACGACTTTTTTTTAAGTTTTGATACTTCATTACACCATGGGGATTGAAAAGGGATTATAAGATTTCAGAATGGCCCAGGAGGGAAAGAGGTAGGTTACAGAACATAAACAAAGGTGCCGGTACTGTGGCATAGTGGGTTGAGCCACTGCCTATAGTGTCAGCATCCCATATGGGTGCTGGTTTGAGTCTTAGCTGCTCCACTTCCCATCCACATCCCTGCTAATGTACCTAGAGAGCAGCAGAAGATGGCCCAAGTGCTTGGGCCCCTGCACCGATGTGGGAGACCCACATGAAGCTCCTGGCTCCTGGCTTCAGCCTGGCCCAGCCCTGGTCATTGCAGCCATTTGGAGAGTGCACCAGTGGATGGAAGACTTTTTCATCTCTGCCTTTCAAATTAAAACACACATACACACACACGGAAAGTCCACGAGGGTCAGGGCTGAAAGAGAAGCTTTAAACTATATTAATATTTTATTCATTTAAAAATAATTTCAGACAATGATGTGAGCAAGATGGAGAATAAGAGCATCCTGCAGAAGTACTGATTTTTGTCAACTACCATGGACTCCCTTGTGGGAGTCCAGAAGTCCAACATAGAACTTTGAGCATACAGTTTGAGAAAAACATCTGCACACAGATACACTGACAAGCATAAGAACAGATTGCTTTACCTGTATCATTCTTCCTTCAAGGTGAAATGGCTGAGTACCAGGAGAGACACCATCAGCCCATGATTTCTCCCACAGAGGAATGTGAGGACATAGTGTTCAGCTGCCCCAGCTGTGTGGGATGGTGCCCAAGACGCTCACTTCTTTTCTTGACCCAACCAAAATATTAAGATGCTTGGTGTAGCTGAAAAGGCTAGGAGAAGATAAGAGAGGCCATGGACCTTACTAATCACTCTACAGATTCCTCTAGGAGGCTTCTCCAAGCCACGAGAGCTGCCTTGCCTAAGGACTACTCCTCTCCAAATGGATGTCCTGAATGCTCTGGGTACCTAAGCTGTCACCACCACGCTGGCTCCCTGGATGTGCCCCTGTGGAAAGTGACTTCAAGTGTCTTGGGCAGACAGCAGCTTGATTCTGCAGAATTGGGAGAAGGCACATAAACTTGGATATTTCAGGACACTGCCCATAGAAAGCAAACAGGAAGCTTCCAGCACCCTGAGTGGCATTGCAGGATTAAGGGCAAGTCTACAACCTTAAGAATTACCCCCCCCCCCCAAGAGGTATGGAGCAGTAAATACTTAGAAAAGATCTGAGGGTATCAGAATCCCTGGCCAGGTTGACTGATGAATGGATTTCTCTCCTAAAGCCAATCAATAGGCTCTAGGAAATGATTGCTTCTCAAAGGCAAAGACATCAACATAAGATTTCAAGGAACAATAAAATCAAGGAAATAATACCACCAAAGAATACAATAATGTTTGCGTAACTTTAAAGAAATTGACGTCTACAAGTTGCCTAAGGAAATCAAAATAATTATTTAAAGGAAACTTGCAAGTTAGAATACTTACACACAACTTCGTGAAGTCAGAAAATATGTGGCCAAAACATATTCAAAGAGAAATCAAAGAAGGAGACACCTTCTGAAGACTACAATGATAGAACTCAGTGACTTCTGAGAATAACTGACCATGCAGGGGACACAGCCATTGGTGCTGACTGAAGATCCTCCAGCTCATAAAGCAAATTCATTAGATGAGATAGGCAGAGACTTCCAGACCCAAGACAGGTAGGGCCAGCGCCCCTAATAAGCAGGAAGAGGCTATAGAAGATGTGATGATTCTACATCCTTCAGCATCCCGTAAGATTAAGGTCTGGGATCTCTGAGGGGGGAAATGATAGAGGCAGGTAGATAGGATTTAATCAGTTAGATTTGTGAGCTGGAAGACCACACCCCCTTTGTGATCTTACTCCCCTACCTGACTTCACCTGCCAATCACACTATGTAATCACTCCCCTTTGGGAGTACATAACAGGCCTGGAGTACGGGAGGCCCCTCCCTTGTTGCCCCACGCCTCTGCTTTCCTGCTTGCATGCTTGCTCCATGTGCTCCCGACCTGCTCTCTGCCTGGTATGGACCCAACTTGTGTTTCTAGACTTCTTTCTCCCCTAAATAAAGCCCTCACTTTCCTGTGCATTTCTCCCACTGAATAAAATGCTTAAAAATTAAAATAATAAAGTAAAATACTACAATGAATGAAAGGAAAAATGCAATACAGTCAACAGCAGACTTGATCAAACAGAAGAAAGAACAGATTATTTCAAAATATCCAGTCAAGGGCTGGTACTGTGGCGTAGCAGGTAAAACCACTGCCTGCAGTACTAGCATCCCATATGGGCACAGGTTCAAGTCCTGGCTACTCCACTTCTGATCTACCTCTTTGCTGTGGCTTGGGAAAGCAGTAGAGGATCCTAAGTGCTTGGGCCCCTGCACCCGTGTGGAAGACCCAGAAGAAGCTCCTGACTCCTGGCTTCTGCGGCCATATGGGAAGTGAAAGTGGATGGAAGACTTCTCCCTCTCTCTGCTTCTGCCTTTAACTCTTTCAAGTAAATAAAATCTTAAAAAAAAAAATCCCAAAAATTTAGATTTAGAAGGAACTTAACACAATAAAGGCTATTTATGAAAAGCGTATAGCTAATATTCTCAGTGGTGAGAAGCTGAGACCTTTTCCTCTAAGATCAAACAAGGCGAGGTTGCTTACTCTCTCCACTTCTACTCAACAAAGCACTGGAATCTTAGAGTTGTGAGAGGCACCAAACTGGAAGAAATTAAATTGTCTGTTACAGAAGACATCCTCTTATATTTAGAAAACCCTAAAGAATTCCCCAAAAACTTCTAGAAATAATAAATTCAGTTGCTGAGAGCAAAATCAATATATAAAAGCTAATTGCATTTGTAAACACTAAAAACTATCCAAGAAATTGAGTAAAAAACCATTTGCAATAGCAAAAATAAAATTCTTAGGAATAAGTTTAACCTGGGGCTGGCACTGTGGCGTTGGGGCCCTGCACGCACATGGTAGACCCGGAGGAATCTCCTGGCTCCTGACTTCAGATCAGCCCAGTTCTGGCCATTGTGGCCATTTGGGGAGTGGACCTGCAGATGGAAGACCTTTCTCTCTGTCTCTCCCTCTCTCTGTCTGTAACACTGCCTCTGAAATATGTAAATAAAATCTTTTTAAAAAAATAAGTTTGAGGAGGTGAAAAATCTGTATATTGTTGAAAGATATTGAAGAATAAATGTAAAGAAGTCCAGTGTTCATGGATTCGAACTCAGTGTTGTCAAAATGCCTGAACTGTCCAAAACATACATATTCAATTTGATACCTATCAGTACACCAATGGCATTTTTTACTGAAACAGAAAAAAATTTTTAAAAATTTGTATAGAATCACAAAAAATCCTAAATAGCCAAAGCAATCTTGAGAAAGAACAAATCTAAGGACATCACACTTGCTGTTTTCAGATTATATTACAAAAGTAATCAAGGCCGGCGCCGCGGCTCACTAGGCTAATCCTCTGTCTTGCGGCGCCGGCACGGCACACCAGGTTCTAATCCGGATTCTGTCCCGGTTGCCCCTCTTCCAGGCCAGCTCTCTGCTGTGGCCCGGGAGTGCAGTGGAGGATGGCCCGAGACCTGGGCCCTGCACCCCATGGGAGACCAGGATAAGTACCTGGCTCCTGCCATCGGATCAGCGCGGTGCACTGGCTGCAGCGTGCCGGCCGCGGCGGCCATTGGAGGGTGAACGAACGGCAAAGGAAGACCTTTCTGTCTCTCTCTGCCTGTCAAAAAAATCAAAACATTTACAATACCAGCATAAAAACATATGGGGGAGGGGGCATTGTAGCATATTGGGTTAAGCTGCCACCTGTGATACCAGATAAGGGCATTGGTTTGTGTCCCAGCTGCTCCACTTCCTATCCAGTTCCCTGCTAATGTGTCTGGGAAAGCAGCAGAGGATGGCCCCAGTGCTTAGGCCCTTGCATCCACATGGGAGACACAAAAGAAACTCTTGGCTCCTGGCTCACAGCCCCATCTGTTGAGGCTATTTGGGGAGTGACCTAGTTGATGGGAGGACCTGGACTTTCCAATACTTCTTAATAAAAAGGAGGAAAGAAAGGAGAAGAAAGAAAAACAGATATATGGCAATAGAACAGAGTAGAAAGCCCAGATATACTACAGTCAACTAATATTCAACAAAGTTCCAAAAGTACAAATTCATGGAGCAGACATGGTGTTGCAGTGGGTTAAGCTGCTGCTTGGGGTGCCAGCATTCCATATCCGAGTGCCTGGGATTGAGTCCTGGCTCTGCTCCCAATTCCATCTTCCTGTGTCTGTGCACCCTGGGAGGCAGTAGTGATGCAGCTGAGTTTCTGCCGCCCACATAGCAGACTTGCACTGAGTCCTGACTCCCAGCTTTGACCCAACCCAGCCCCAGCTGTTGCAGATATTTGGGGAAAGATTCGGCAGATTTCTCACTCATTCTTCCGCCCTTTGTGTCCACCTTTCAAATAATGAAGTTAAAAGAAAGAAATAGTGTTGAAAAACCAGATACCCATATGCAAAAAAAAAAAAAAAATCCTTACACAAAAATCAATAACTCAATATAGATTAAAGATAGAGGCCGGCGCCGCGGCTCACTAGGCTAATCCTCCGCCTAGCGGCGCCAGCACACCGAGTTCTAGTCCCGGTCGGGGCGCCGGATTCTGTCCCGGTTGCCCCTCTTCCAGGCCAGCTCTTTGCTGTGGCCCGGGAGTGCAGTGGAGGATGGCCCAAGTGCTTGGGCCCTGCACACCATGGGAGACCAGGATAAGTACCTGGCTCCTGCCATCGGATCAGTGCGGTGCCCGGCAGCGGCGTGCTGGCCGCGGTGGCCATTGGAGGGTGAACGAACGGCAAAGGAAGACCTTTCTCTCTCTCTCTCTCTCTCTCACTGTCCACTCTGCCTGTCAAATAAAATAAAATAAAATAAAATAAAATAAAATAAAATAAAATATAGAAATGGAAGACCTGAAATCATACACTTCCTAAGAGAAAGCATAGGAGAAAAGCTCCCTAGCATTGGTGTTAGCAGTTTTTTTTTGGGGGGGGGGGGGGCGGTATAATACAAAAAAAAAAAAAAGCTGCAAAAGTAAAGCTAAACGAGTGGGCTTGCAAGCTAAAAAGTTTGTGTATAATGAAGATAATCAACAAAATGAAAAGGCATGATATGGAATGGGAGAAAATATTTATAAGCCACATATTCAATAAGAGATTAAAATACATAAGGAGCACAAGCAACTCAATAATCAAAAAACAACCCAATTGAAAAATGAGCAAAGAAACTGAATAGATATTAGATATTTTTCCAAAGAGAATATAGAAATGACCAATAGTGTTTGAAAACGTGCTCAGTATCACTAATCAGAGAAGTGCAAATCAAAACCTCACACCTGTGAGGCTGTTACCAAAATGTCAAAGATGACAAGTGCTTGTGAGGATATGGAGACAAGAAACTCACACATAGTGAGAGTGTAAATTAACCCAGCCATATTGATAATGGCATGGAAGTTCCTCAAAAAATTAAAAACAGAACTATGGATGATACAGCACTCCCACCATGGGCATATATTCAAAAGAATAAAATGATCTAAAAGAGGTGTCTGCCCTTCCCTGTTCATTGCAACATTGTTTACAATAGCCAGGAAATGAGGGAAGACAAGGAAGTGACTGTCCTCAGATGAATGGATAAAGAAGCTGTGTGGCATGTACACAGTCCTGTGCCTCGTAATATTTCCACCAGTGATGGACCACATCTACAATGTTGGCCTATAGATTGTAATGGAGCTCAAAGATTCTTATGGCTGAGTATTTTTTACCATACCTTCTCTATGTTTAGGCGCATACATGTTTAATGTTGTTTACAGTGACCTACAGAATTCAGTACCGTAATGTGCTGTACAGGTTTATAGCCTGAGAGCAATAGGCTGGTCCAGATAACCAGGTGTGCAGCAGGCTGTACCACCTACCACCTAGGTTTGTGTAAGTGCACCCTATCACGTTCTCACAACAAAATTGCTTCATGATGCATTTGCCTGGTGTAGCCCGTCAGTAAGTGACACATAAACTGTACAACGTGATTATTCAGCGTCAATAAAGAAGAAAATCCTGCCATTTGAAGTTGGGATTGATGACATGGATGAACCCAAGAAGCCCTGGACTCCTGGCTTTAGCCTGGCCCAACCCCTACCATTGGGCTATTTAGGGAGTGAACCAGCAGACGGAAGATTCTTTATCTCTTTCTCCCCCTCCCCCTCTCTTTCCTCCTCTAATTCTGCCTTTCACAATTTTAAAAATCTTTAAAAATTAATACTGTATGCTAGAAATTTGCTGAGAGATCTTATGTGTACTCACCACATGCACAGTAACTGCGGTGGTTTGCATGTGGTTTGTCCTCAAGGGCTCACGTACTAGAAGCCTTATCTCGGGTGCGGTGAGTGATGTGGGAGGTAGTAGAACCTCTAAGAAACAGGACCTGGTGGAGGTCCTTAGGTTATGGGGGTGCTGCTGTCCCGTGGGAAGCTGGTCTGGTGTGAGTTCACACCAGGCCAAGTTGTAAAAGCCTGAGCCTGACCCTCTGGCACTCAGCTTCCTAGCTGGTGATGTGATCTCTTCGTTCCACCCAGGTCCTCACCAGAGCCCAGCTGATGCCGGCACCATGCCCGTGCCCTTGAACCTCCAGAACTGTAAGCAAAGTAAACTTTTTTTCTTTGTCAAATGAGTGGCCTCGGGTATTTCGTTATAGCAATGGAAAACTAATACAGTACCTGTGAGGTGGTGGATATGCTAATTAGCTTGATTGTGGCTATCAGCTCATGATGTATACAAATATAAAAATACCACATTGTACATTTTTGTATTTCCATCTACTTGAAAGGCAGACAGAGATATCTTCCATCCACTGATTCACTCCTTAAATGCCTGCAATACACAGGAGTAGGCCAGGCAGAAGCCGGGAGCCAGGAGCTCCATCCAGGTTTCCCATGTGGGTGGCAGGGCTCCAAGCACTTGAGCCTTTATCTGCTGCCTCCCAGGATGCATTGGCAGGAAGCTGGATGAGGAGCAGAGGGGTCAGGACTCCAGCTGGCACTCTGATGTAGGTTGTGGGAGTAGCGAGCACTGGCTTAACCCACTGCATCACAACTCCTGCCCCTGAATAGATACAATGTTTGTCAAGGGTACCTCAGCAAAGCTGTGGGGAAAATAAATAAAATTTCATGACATCTTAACAAAATTTTCATTTTTATGAAAAATAACTTCCAAACACAACAATGTAATGAGAATAGTGACTTTTTTTTTTTTTTTCCATTTTTATTCCAAAGGGAGAGACTCTCCCCAAAGCCTGGCCAGGGCGAAGGGAAGTCACGTGGGAGGAAGCGGACCAGACATCCGGCAGAGTGAGCAGAGCCGTCTCCTCCACGTGTGCTTTCCAAGGACGTTCCCTGAAGGAACAAGGGAGGAAGGTTTGGGAGCTGGGGAAAGTTCAACAGAGTGAATGAAGAAGGTGTCTGCCCCATCTCCAGACGTGCAGGTAAGCAGCAGTGTGGTGCCGTCAAGTGTATTTATCTCCCCTTCCCTCCCTGCAATAGAGAGAGAGATAAAGGCAGCCAAGCTCTTCCACCCACTGGTTCACTTCCAGCGCTGGTCCAGGCAGAAGCCAGGAGCTGGGAACTCCATACAGGCCTCCTACCTGGACGGCAGGAACCCAAGTAACCTGGGTCATCGTCTGCTGCCTCCCAGGCCCATTAGCAGGAAGCTGCATTGACCGTGGAGGTGGGACTGGATCTCAAGCACTCTGATGTGGGATATGGATGTCACAAGTAGCAGCTCAACCCACTGAGCCAGAACAGCTGTCCCTGTGTTTGCATTTTAAACAGATCTGGGCAGAGTGGGTAAAGCTCAGACAGCTGCAGTTGTCCAGTGCAAGACAGGATGAGGCTCGGACCTCCGTGTGTCCCTGGAATCACTCTTGTTTTAGACTGTCCTGTTTAATCTGCAAGTGCATCTGGCTTTTCTTTAAGCAGTGAAAACTAGCAGCTTGACCCATAACTGCCTCAATGCCTGAAAGGTGGGGGTGTGGGCCACCCCACTTTCACGCTCCAAATGGGGAACGATCTCCCTCTACTGGCCATTTCATGAACTATTTCAGACTGCTGAAATTTCACTGGGTGGCTGGGAAGAGGTGTGAGCTGTGTTTTGAGGATGGTTATTTCTGTCATATCACTTGACCTGTAGGTCAGGTTTTCCCCAAACACACACACACACACACACACACACACACACACACAGCGTGGGGCAGAGATGCAATATCAGCCACCAGCAGCCTTTGACATCTCTAGTGATGCATCCACACTGGATGGCCAATGTGGGCATCTGCTGGAGCCAGAGCTGGGCAGGACACAACTTCTGCAAGATCAGCGAGAGCATGGTGCCTTTTCCTGGGGGCTCCTCCTCTCTGGAAGCCCCTCCCTGCCCCAGCGCGGCCATGCTGCCCCCAGCCCAGGCCAGTGGCACAGTGAGGGTCTTTCTTCCCCAGGCACCTCCCAAACAGACCCACGTGCTTTCTCCACTCCCTCTTCCAGCTAATCATGGTTGAGAAGTGGGGAGCCTACCCTGAAACGAAACAGGACAGATTCCTGTCGGGCGAAGCCTTTGACCCTGTTGTTAGCCCCCAAGCCAGCTGTGCTGCACACAGGATGCCCCTGCTCCTGTGCCTGGAGGGGCAGGGGCATCCTTCAGGGAGTGACAGCGTCCTTGGGCACTTCCTCTCCTGTGCTTCTTGGGGACCCAAGGACACAATGTTCATATAGCACAGGAGACCATCTGTGCAGCACACCGCAGCAGGCGGATGACTGCTGTGACCGCCCTTGCTGGGACTGAGGGCTCCCTAGCATGGCCTACCTTTGCCCAGAGCTCCCCAAACCTGCAGGGGTCTGATGGAAACAGAGCTGCCCCCCACCCCATGCCACAGTTCTGCCTCAGTGGGGCTCAAGAATTTGGCTGCCTTACAACTTCCCAGGAGGAGCTGCTCCTGTGGTCTGGGGCCAGTGCAGCCCACCCCTGTGTCCCCAGAAAGCCAACATCACTCAAGGCCTCTTTGCCTGATCTCTGTCCACAGCTGGCCCCTGGCTGCTCCAGAAATGCTCCCTCTGGCCTGGCTGGAAACATGGCCTGACTTGGCTGTTTTTCCTTGACCCAGATGAGTGGCCTTTGTGTCTCCCTGGGGAGAGGAGCAGTGTAGAGATTTGGTTTCTCAGACACCCCAGTGGCTCCAGGCTCCCTGGATGTGACTGTGACCTTGGTGAAAAAGAACCCAGTAGTGCTGCCAAGCCGAGTCCAGACTGCAAGGAGCCACCGAGCAGGAGAACCAAGCCACAGCCACCCCGGGACCTGGGGAGGGGCAGCCGATTCCTAGATAGCATCCACCTGGCTGTCACCCCCCTGTCCACCCCTTCCCTGTCACATGCTTCACTTTCTCCCCTCCTCTTTCCTCTGGACACATTCAGAAAAAGGAAACAGGGTGGATTTGAGAGGAGGGCAAAGGACTGGCTGGGAGGAAAGGAGGAGGGGAAAACAGCTTCCTGCCTGGTGCGGGCGTCACTGTCACCTCCTCCACGCAGCCCCATGACTGTCACTGTGCCATAGTCAGTGGCACCCACCCCCACCCCCCCAGCTTGGAGAAGTATACCAAGGAGGGAAGAGGTCCTGCCCCAGAAACTGAACAGGGAATTTACCACTCTGAACAAGGACAGTTCCCAAGCTGCAGCCTCTTTCTTCCTAGGGAGGATGTTTGTGGTCCTGATTTCTTTGCTCTGGGAGTCACCTGCCACACAGGACACCCCTTTCCCAACTCCGTCACTTGCAGGCTGTCAGCTATGACCTCAACCACATCTTCCTCGACTGTTCCTAAGGACATAAATATGTAAGCACATAAATATACTCATATTACTTACTTATATTTACCAATAATTTATTATTTAATAAGTATTCTAAATATACCTAAATATATAAATAAGGCTGTTATTTATAAGGATAATCAGTTGTTTGATAAGGCCGTTTCTCTTCTTCCCTTTACACTCGCTCTTAAAATTAAAGGTCTCCTCTGGGCTCCCATTCCATAGGTTAATTACAGGATTTTAAAAAATTGATTCAGCAAACACCTGACAGTCCTTTAGGCCATGGGTTAGGGTTGTAGAGCCAGGCAAGGCCTGATTGGAACCAACTAGCCTGGGGAGAACAAAGACAGGGATTTTCAGGAGGGGCCTGTGCCATGTGCTGCAGCCCATTGTGGGAGATGAGCGCTGAGGGTGGGCACACGCTGAGGGAGGCAGTGGAGGAGGGAACGCCCAGGCAGGGCTGACCTTCAACTGGGTGTGACAGGCACAGCCGCTGATCCCCCCACGAAGGCCGTGCAAGTCCCACAGAGGAACTGGATGGGTCCTGACAGCAAGAGGCTCTCCCAGCTCCCGGCTTCAGCCTGGCCTAGTCCCAGCTGTGTGGGCATTTGAGGAGTGAACCACCAGATGAGAGATCTCTGTCGCTCTTTCAAACAAATATAAATAACTGCTAAAGTTCTCCATGAAGCAGACCTGTGTGAGCCCCACGACGGACCCTGGACGTCACAGTGCCTTCTAGAACTTGCTTGCTAATCTGGGTCTCAGCAGCCCTGCTTCCCTCAGCCCGTGGGTCCCTAGAACTGGTGACTGGACTGCGATTCACGCAGTGGCCACAGGGTGGCAGTGAGAGGCACTTTCCTATCTGTACCTCCTGGGGTGGGTCCTGTCTCGCCCAGGGACTCAGCCTTGTGTGCACCACTTCGCCCTGCCTCTTCCTAGCTGTGCAACTTTGGGCAAGTTACTCACCTTTCTGAGCCATTTCTGCTGGCCTCGAATGGGGCTGAGAATTTGCATTTCTTGCGAGTGCCTAGGTGAGGCAGCAGCAGAGCCCAGCAGCTGGGACTGTGACCTCCCCGCCTCACAGGAGGTGACCCCAGCTCTCCTCCCTCGAAGCCTCCTCTGCCAGCACCCTCCCCTCCAATATACCCTGTCACCAAGTCACCAGGACACCTCTCAGCCAAACAATCAACCTTTCTCCAGCCACAGGAGCTCTGTAGAAGGTAGGCGCCATTGGAGAGAAACAGGAAGAGGAGGGAAGTAACTGGAGAAGGTCAGAGAGGAAGGAGATGGGGGAATGAGTCCCGCACATGGGCAGGGGCCCCGTTGCCTGTTGCAGGCAGGAGAGTCACACCTGAGATGGGGACAGGACAGGACCCGGGGGCCTCCTTGGCATTCCACCTAGGGCACCTTTGCTGGGACTTCTGCAATTTATGGCTGATTTGTGCCAGTGGAAGGTGGGTAGAAGGCTGCCATTCCCCACCAGACCCGCAAAAGCCTCCCATCTGTGTGTGTGTGTGTGTGTGAGCGAGAGAGAGAGACAGAGACAGAGACACTTGGATGCTAAAGCCTTGGATTGCCTTGGGAGCTCCATCTTGCAGATAACACCACCCTTGGCCCCTGAATGGCTGCATGGAACTAAGCACCCCCTCCCCAGGCCTAGAAGACCACACCCAAGAGAAGGTCCCGCAGTGACAACCTCTAGTAAGGGCCAAGCGGGGTTTGATTCCAGGCCCGCACACTGTATGCTCCCTGAAGACTCAAGGCCCAGTGCTAGGCTGGGAGGAGCTTGAGTTAGGAAGACATGATGCACCCTGGAGGGCAGGGTGTGCCTGGCCCTGAGGTTGTCTGCTGAATCTGGATATTGAAGACCTCAGAGCTGAAGGAGCAGGAAGGAGGAGACGAAGATGGGATTAACACACCAAGGACAGATCCATAGGAACCTCCGGGGTCTGAGGAAAGATGTGCCCGTCTAGAAACTGTGAAGCGACGGATTCCCACACTTTCTTCTTCCCTTCCCACCCCTGCCCTCGCTCGGCATCGGGCACCTTCTTTAGGCTTCAGGTGTGTCCCGAGAATCGAGCACTGTGTGACAAGCACTGTTGTTTCACTGGCATCTAGAACAGTGACAGGCACGTGTTCAGGGCTCAGCACATATCTGCGGAATGAATGAATTAGGGCTGAGAAAGAGCCAGCTGGAAGTTGACAGCAAGAGCCCAGCCACATGGGGTCTCAGATCACTGAATGTCAGGACAGTGGTCCTGGCTCCGCTCCTCCTGCCCAGCCTGCCAGCTGTCCACTCTCTCCTTTCCTTACAGACTTAATGATGTCCCTGCTTAAGACCTTTAGAGACCACCTTGCCCTGACAGTCTCAAACTTGAGATTTCCGCCTTGAGTCCGCGGTTCTAGCCTGGGATTTTTAGCAGGCGATTCTAATGTGCATCCCAGGGTTAGAGCACGGGATGTAGCCCAAGCCCTGTGTTTTACAAACCAAACCTCAGTGAGGGGAGGGAGCATGCCTGAGGTTATCCAGCAGGTTGGTGGCAGGACTGAGCCCCCAATGCAGTAAAGTGCTCTTCTCTGTTCAAAAGGCATCACTATCACCTGTTCAGAGTAGGGTTTTCTTTTCTTTTTAGGATTTATTTATTTATTCCAATAAATAAATCCTAAATATATATATATATAGAGAGAGAGAGAGAGAAAGAGAGAGAGAGAAATTGATCTTCCATCTGCTGGAGCTGTGCCAGGCTGAGGCCAGGAACCAGGAATTTCATCTGGGTCTCCCAAGTGGGTGGTAGAGACCAAGCACTTGGGCCATCCTCTGCTGCCTTCCCAGGTGCACTAGCAGGGAGCAGGATTGGAAGCAGAGAGCCAGGACTCACCTGGGATGCTAGCGTCAGGCAACGCCAGACCTGCCAGAAGTCAGTTTGAGGGTCTCCCAGCTCCTTGGCAGAAGTTCGTTTCCAAGGTCACATCCTTCCGGTGCTTCCTTAATCTGCCAGGGTGGATTTAGTTTCAGTTCAGCTGTGAACACAGCTCCGCTCAGCTCCTCCTCCCTGCCTCGTGCTGTCTTCCTTTACAACCAGGGTGTTGATTTATTCAGCTTCTGGGGACGTATCCAACACTCCTCCCCTGATGCCTCCCTCTGCTCTCCCTCTCCCTCCCTTGGCCTGCCTTCCTCCACCTCAGCCAGCTGTTAACCCACTCATTCTTCCAGCTACAGCCCTCCCCAGATCCTCCTGCCCTGCCGAGCTGCTCCCCAGCCAGACCTGGAGATAAGAGAGCTTCTGCCTCCTTCCTTCTTTTCCACTTGTCCTCACTGGTGACCCTCCTCCAGCTCTGCCGAGACAGGGCTGGCCCCAGAGGACCGGGCTCTGTCTTCCTCGCAGCTGGCAAACAGCGAACTTGAGTCATGGCCTTGGGACACAAATAATCTGCTCTCGTTTATTTAAAAAAAAACCACCAGCAGCCAAAAACACACACTGATGAAGGCGTTGGTGAAAGACGATAGTAGATAAAGTGGTCCTTACTCAGCAGTGCGGTAAATAAAGCCCCGCAAGGGGAGTCTCGCCGAGAGTTGTGAACTCTCATTAGGCCCAGCTGAAGATGGAGCCGCTGGAACTTTTGCACGCAGCTCTCAGGCATTGCTTGGGACTCCAGGCGTCCTTACGAACACTCTCACAGCCTCCCAGCCCCTCAGGAACAGATGAGGCTGTTTTGTTCCTGACTTCCGGGGCGAAATCACTGCTGCTCTCACTCCTTCCTGACTATTTCTCCCTCTCCCAGCCATGCCCCTGGGCCCACGGAGCATCCTGTGCTGCTTCCAGAGCTTTGCCAGTCCTCTCTGTTTCAAGCACGTTATAACCCACAAAACCATCAGTCAGCTACTTGTAAGTGGCTCAAATAACCAATGTGGAGACACCAAAAGATGTGCAGGTACTATTGATATTCTCAATATCAATATTGACAGCACCTGCTGAAAGCAGGCGCACACTGTCTCTGATATGGAGCAGGGGCTGTATACACTGCTAGGTTGTTATTTAGCTATTGCGTCCTCGTGCACCATCTTATGTAGTTTTTTGGAACTCCTGTGAGGTGGGTGCTAGTGGACCAACTTCCAAAAGAGGAAACAGACTCAGAGTTGTATGATCTGGCCAAGTCTACCCTTGGCCTTGCTTGTCCCTTAAAATAGTTCTGGATCATTCTGGGGCTCATTTTCCTAAAGGCAGGATCTTAGAGCAGACATCTCCAAACACAGAGAATCATGGCCACGGAGAAGCAGGAGGAGAAAGGAGTGTAGAAAAATCACCTAGTTCAAAGTGGGCAAGCCAAATAATGGACAACAAACATGGCCCATGGATGTGTCTTTTTTTTTTTTAAGATTTATTTATTTATTTTAAAGGAAGTGGAGCAGCTGGGTCTCGAACCAGTGCTCATATGGGACGCCGGCACTGCAGGCGGCCGCTTAACCCGCTGTGCCACAGCACCGGCCCCATGGATGTGTCCTAATTGACCCGCACACTGTTTCATGATGGAATTTGTTGCCATTATTTGAAAAAGCAGAACCTTTCCCAAAAAGAGCCAGACTTGCAGATTTGTCTTAAGAAAATGTAGATCTGAGAACCTGAGCCATTTGGCCAATAACTGGTTGAAGCTGACCAGCAGCTGCCCACCCAAAGGGGGCTGCCCTCTCCAGTCCCCACACAGCCACCCTCACTGGTTTCTGTTGTCTGCCTGATCCCTGGTGAATTTTGAGTTTATGGCCCTGATCTAGTTCCACCCAGCTTCTTCCTATAAGAAAATCAGGACCCCAAGAGTGAGGAGGCCCAAGGCACAGACAGAGGGTTAACCCTGAGAAAGTTCATTCCCCTCTGTGCATCTTCCTTGTCTCTAAAATGAGACTACGGATAGCACCTGCATTGGGCCAATGATGATTTAGCAGAGTGTTGATAGTGTCGGCTTGGGCTGCGATAACAAGATCTCATAGGCTGCGCGGCTTCAACGGCACACATGTAACTTCTCACAGTGCTGGAGGTTAGAAGTCTGGGGTCCACTTGCCAGCAATTGTGGTTTCTGGTGAGGGCTTTCTTCCTGGCTTGTAGGTAGCCACTTTTGTGCCATGTCCTCACATGACTATTCTTGGTGTGTGTGCATGAAGGTAAGGGGACAGAGGGAGAGGGAGAGAGAGTGAGCACTCAGGGGTCCTTAGAAGGCCACCAATTCTTTCAGAACCTCACCCTTAGGACTTCGTTTATCCTTGACTTGTCTTTAGAGGCCTCATTTTTACATATACACTGTGGGTTGGGCTTCAGTAGATGACTTTATGGGGACACAGTTCACAGCAGTGCCACTTCTGGGGTTGTTGAGGGTGGCATAAATAAGCATGCAGGAAACACTCAGGACAGCCTCTGCCATGCCATGTGTTCTCAATAACTGTTAGCAATGATGTATGATAACAGTTGCATGAGTCAGCTTTTCTTCACTTTAACTAAAACACCTCAGAGGAGCTACTTACGTATTTTGGAGAATTCTGTTTCCTGCTTGGCCTCTGGCTGATCCAGAAGCAACCTGATCAATCAGAGGCTATCAAAGGTATCCAAACCCAGGAAACTCTGCTCAGTGGCAAGGCATGGTGGGGCTTGCACCCATCCAACCCAGGGAAGAGTATTCAACTCCAACCTCCGTATTCACAATGCAGATCTTCTGGAATTCACTAGACACACAGGTGTTGCTACCTGACTCAACCAGGGTGGTCCAGGTAGAGCTAAGATTAGCAGAGACAGCTCCCTTCCCGTCACATGGATTCCTGCACCTGTGTGTGACACAGAGCCTGCCCGGAGTAGCCCCTGCATAGTCCCAATCACACACCCCTCTCACCACCACTTTAAGACTTGCTCACCTGACTGCACAGGTCTGAGTCAGTGTGTTCCCACTTGCCACTGGGAACAAGGTGCTGTCTTGCTCAGCTCACTCATTTTTGTCTTCCAAAGAGCTGGAGGGCCAAAAGGTGAGCTGCCCTCCAACTCCGGCTTTCCCAAGGTGTTTAAGCTGTTGCTTTCTGGTGTGAATCTCATTGAGAAAGCCTCACAGGGGCCAAATCCAAGTGCAGACAACTCTGACTTATGATGGTTCAATCTATGACTTTTTGACTTTTCTAACAACAAAAGCAATACATATTCAATATAAACCATGCTTTGGATCTTAAATTTAGATCTTCTCCCCAGGCTGCTAAACGGGCAAGGTCCTCTTCTGTGCTCCTGGGCAGCACATGGAGCCACAGCTCCCAGTCAACCCCACAACCATGAGGGGCAGCAGCTGACACTCTTGCTGTGCAGTATGCAAAGAGTGACACAACCAGCTCTCTGCTGTGGCCTGGGAGTGCAGCGGAGGATGGCCCAAGTGCTTGGGCCCTGCACCCCATGGGAGACCAGGAAGAAGCACCTGGATCCTGGCTTCTGATCAGTGCAGTGCCGGCCGTGGTGGCCACTTGGGGGGTGAACCAACGGAAGGAAGACCTTTCTGTTTCTCTCTCACTATCTGTAACTCTACCTGTCAAAAAAAAAAAAAAAAGAGTGACATGAGATACTCAACACTTTAGTGTAATGTAGTTGGGGTTGGATGGGTTGGATGGGTTGGATGACTTTGCCCAACTTTAGGTTGCTGTTGGTGTTCTGAGGATATTTAAGGTAGACAAGGCAAAGCTAGGATGTTTAAATGCATATTTTACTTATGATGATTTCCCATGGAACACTGGGGAGTATCTGTAGTTGCAGGAAGGCTGTTTTCCTAGGAAGAGGCGGGCACAGGCATGAGTACATTGTTAAGGACAACAGGTCAGTGAAGGCCACCATTGGTAGAGAAGGCAGTCATTTAAACTACAGTTCATCCTCTTCTTCTCTGGGCAAAAAGGAGCTGGCATCCAAGAAAGTCTTAAATTTCTGCTTCCTCCGGCCAGATGTCCCCACAGCACCTTAGAACTCTGAGCTGCAGGGCTCACGGCACTGCCCATGGATGTCTTGGGCCCTGATTTCATCCTCTGCCCTGGTCTCAGCCCCTTAGTTTCTCCTCCTCCATGCTCCCCTTTCTTCAGCATCCCCTCTCCAGGGGATTGATCAGAGGCGTAAATGCATCTGAAACCCCAGGCTCCTCCCTGGAGGAGAAGCCTTGCAGCAATTGGACAGAAAACTCTTAATCATAAGGATGTCTGGAAGTTGTCTGTGATGGCCATGGAAGTCCATGTTTTCCCTGCTGCTAAGAAAGAAAAAGCAAAGAACTGGATGAAGGAAATTTTGGTTTAATTCTCGGTTCTGACACTTACTGTTACCTTATGCAGATTACCTAACCTTTTTTAAAAACATTATTTCTTTTACTTAGTTGAAAAGCAGAGAGACACAGAGGCAGACATATCCCATTCATTGGTTTACTCCCCAAATGCACACAACAGCCAGGCCTGGGACAGGCCAAAGCCAGAAGCTGGCAACTCAATCCAGGTTTCTAATGTGGATGGGCAAGGACCCAACTACTTGAGCCGTCGCCTCCCATGGCATACATTCACAGAAAGCTGGAATCGAGCATATAGCTGGGACCCCAAGCCAGGACTCTAATATGGGATGTGGGTGTCTGAGATGGCCTCTTAACTGCTACTGCAAACACCATCCCCTCAGCTTGGGCAAGTTATCTAACATTTTCAAACCCATATTCCTTCCTTTGTAAAATTGTAAGAAAATCTCACAGGATTATTATAGTGGACATTTGGTATGTTTTCTGCCTTCTTTTTTAATCTTCTCATTTGGAAATAATTTCAAACTTACAAAAAAGTGGCAAGAAAAAGAATCATGCAAAGAATGCCAGTATGTCCTTTACCCAGCTGCCTACCCCCTAGCCTTTTCCCTGCCTGTACTTCTATGTATATTTCCCTAAGAACAGTCTCTTACATCACCACAGTGTGCTTAATAATGGCAACAAGGTCAGCATAGATACCTTTATTCTAATCTAACTCTTATCTAATCTTACTGCTACTCTAATCTAATCTGTATTCCAGTTTTGCTGATTGGCCCAGTGATGTCATTTATGGTTTTTTCCCTGTAGGTCAAGATCCAGTGTACAGTCATCTACCACATTCAGTTGTCATATTTCTCTAATCCTCTTTTTCCTTTTAAAGCTTTCGTTGAGAGAGAGAGAGAGAGAAACCCTCATCTGCTGTTGCAGCCCCCAAAAGCCCGTAATGGCCAGAGGCCAAAGCCAGTAGGTGGGAGCTAAAACTTAGACTCCCAGGTGGGTGGCAGGGGCCATCACTTCCTACATGGGGATGTGGTGGGGGTGGAGCAGCATTAGCAGGAAGCTGGAACAGAGAGCTGAACAGGGCATTCAAGAGGTGACCTAACCATTGACCCAAAGGTCTATGCCAGTGACGTCTACCCTTAGCTTGTGGTTCCTGTACCCACTCTGGCTGCAAGTCAGCTCCAGTTAAAGGTCAGCTCACTCCATTGAGTGAGTTTCAGGCAGAGGGTGGCTGGGTTTGATTCTACCTCCTATTTTTCCCACCACTCCAGCATTCGGCCCAAGCTTCTGGATTCTTCAACAGAACCACTGGACAAGACTGGAATTCCATATGGGCTTGGTGCTAGGATTACTGGCCACTTTCCAAATCGGGACTGTAATGTCCAAAACCAG